TGTGGTATTCTTAGCTTTTTGATTTCTTATATCTACTCACACATGGAGAGCAAACACATATGTGAAATCATAATTTCATTGTCGTTGATACATAAAGCTTTTTTTTTTTTTTTTTTGCAGATACCGACGGATTTGCATCCTGCGACAAACAAATCTTCCCTGGAGACTGTGCTTACGGTATTTCTACTTTAAAGATAGTTATTATATATCGATTTGTCGAAGTTCTGCAGTTTATTTGGAGCTTCATGTTCATACTATTATTAGCTCATGAATCGTCTTGGTTTGTTCATCCTTAGTAAAAGGGTCTAATGTGGAAGTTTAAATTTCATTCTCTCTTTTAAAACCAATCTTTTCTTTTCCCTACTACTGGAGATCTGTTAATAAAGAAAAAAAGTTAATCCACAGCATGTGCCTTTCTGATTTCGGTTGACAGATAAATGCCCTAAAAATTAACTTACCACTGCTTTACTGATTTAGGGTTGTCATAGTAGAAATAGAGTTGGGGTTAGGAACTCGTCTATTTATACATATTCAAAACAGTGCGATCCTTAAGTTTTCTGTTTTGGGTGATTTATTCAATACTTTTAAATTTTTTTACTGACTTGGGTCTAATGGGGTTGAAGATCTTAAAGTTTTGCAGATTTGCCAATATATTTCTTGGAAATTGTTGGCGTTAGTCTTTATGTAGAACAACTGTTAAAATTATCGTTATCATGATATTTGATCATGCAATTTATCTGCCATGCTTGTTATTCGTGCAGGTTTTACATGCAGGTGGCAAGTTTGGTGGCTCGAGTAGTGGTTACACTGTATCTGGTGGATTGCATGGCGTAGGTTTATCAGTTGTAAATGCTTTGTCTGAGGTGTGTTCTAATCTTTGCGCACTTTTCTTTTTCATTACTTTTTGAATTACTTATGCTCTATATCCCCTTTCAGTAATTTTTGCAATCCTAGGCTACTATGGGATTGTTACGAGGAATAAGTTGGAATGTTTCCTTATTGAATTTTAGAGCAAATTGATGTCAAATACTCTTCCACCGTAAGAACTGCGGGACTTTTAGAATAACTTGTAGTTTGATTATTGGTTTGTAGGCGCTGGAGGTCACAGTGTGGAGAGATGGGATGGAGCATAAGCAAAGTTATTCTCGTGGAAAGCCCATAACTACACTCACGCGCAGTATCCTTCCGCTAGAGTCAAAGGGGACTAAAGGGACAAGCATCAGGTTTTGGCCTGACAAAGAAGGTTTTACCTGTCTTTTACTCTTTACTACTTTACCCTCCCCAAAATTTGATTAGGTGATTAATTTTCCCTTTATGGGAATAAACTGTTTTTCAGTATTCACAACTGCAATTGAGTTCGACCATAACACTATTGCTGGACGAATTAGGGAGCTTGCATTTCTGAATCCAAAGGTGAAATTACTTTACTCAAAGCGAGGTTAACCTTGACAATTTTTCATCACAACATCTTAATTCATTATAGTTTACTTCATGGAGCATCCTTAGCTTGTCAACTTTTGGCAGACGTTGATGTTGTATCATTCTTTTTTCATAAGAAATTGCTTTATTTTTTATGTTTGCAGGTTACCATATCTCTCAAAAAGGAGGATGATGATCCCGAGAAGAACCAATTTAGTGAATATTTTTTTGCCGGAGGATTAACTGAGTATGTTTGTTGGCTAAACACTGATAAGGTAATAGTCTACACATCGAATCACATTTTTTATGTGCGTGAAGCCTATCAGATTCATTTTTAAGTAGGCAACGATGGCTAGAATTTTGAAAATGTTCTGTGAAACAATATGCAATGCAGTGGTATCAGTGATTGTCTTTCTCTGCTAACTTAAGCTAGCAAGATATGTTGAGCACTATTCTTGGATTAGTTGATTGCTATAGCATGTCTATAGATTCTTATGCATCAATTTAGACATAAGTGAACTCGTATGCATAATGTCTCCATATAATAATTACTTTCTTATCATTACGTGTACTTGAAAACACTGTCTGACAATTCTTTTGCGTAGAATCCAATTCATGACGTGCTGGGTTTCAGGAAAGAAATAAATGGTGCCACCATTGACGTTGCCCTTCAATGGTAATGTTGTTTTCCTTCTTTTAAGTCTTATATTATCAAATTCGAATTCTGTTACTACCACACCCACAATTAGTTTTACATGTCCAGAGTAGTCTTGGCTGTATAATCGGATCAGTAAATGTTATAAACCATTGTATATGATATTCTAGACATGCTTTCGTTTGTTTGACACAAGAAAGCACAAATTATGACTATTCTAAATTTATCTGTTTTTATTGGCTTGGCATATTTTTGTACCAGGTGCTCAGATGCATATTCAGACACAATGGTGGGATACGCCAATAGTATTCGCACTATTGACGGTGGAACACACATCGAAGGTGTGAAAGCTTCATTAACAAGGACACTTAATAGCCTTGCAAAAAAATCAAAGGCTGTTAAGGTATGACATTAGTAACCAGCTTTGCTGTGTATGTTGATAACCGTGTATAATATTTTCGTGTTTCTATTGGCCGTGTTTTCAGGAGAAGGATATTAACTTAAGTGGGGAACATGTTAGAGAGGGACTGACCTGTATTGTCTCAGTCAAGGTTCCGAATCCTGAGTTTGAAGGTCAAACAAAGGTACTATAATGATTGTCTCTTTAGTGATGATCTCTGGTCAATAGCGTCTCATTTGTGGAAATTTACCCCCACTAGTTTAATTTGTCTCCTAACCCCCCTTTTTCCCTTGCAGACAAGATTAGGAAATCCAGAGGTGAGAAAAATTGTTGACCAATCAGTTCAGGAGTATCTCACGGAGTATTTGGAATTGCATCCAGATGTACTTGACAGCATTATTTCCAAATCCCTTAACGCCTACAAGGTATGTTTTTGATGCTCATATCAATACTTCTGACCTACAAGCACACACATAAACTCATGCACCAAATGTACAGCAGTCTATAATGGGCCATTTGTTTCTGTAGTTTAGCGTATTGTTTCTAAGTCCTTGTTATTTATCCCCTGCTCTGCTTTTAATGAATGTGTTAGTTGCTAACTTTCAACCAAATTATCATGAAATTTTACTTCACCACGTTTTCTATTTCTAGGCTGCTTTGGCTGCCAAGAGGGCAAGGGAGTTGGTCAGATCGAAAAGCGTGTTGAAGTCATCATCACTTCCTGGGAAACTGGCTGACTGCTCATCAACAAATCCTGAAGAATCTGGTATTGTATTGGCCAATATGAAAATGTTGTTTTTATAAATGCTAAACATACTTTAATTATGTGGCTACAACAGCTAACAATTGTAAGCCATGCTAATTCAGTCAAGTAGTGACATTTCTTTGCAATCACTCCAGAGATTTTTATAGTCGAAGGAGATTCTGCTGGTGGCAGTGCGAAACAGGGCCGTGACAGACGTTTTCAGGTAATCACACTTCTATCACTATTTCATTGTGTCACTATATAAGAAGAGAGAGGAAGGGCAGGTTTAGGGGTTTTCATTGTTTCTTCTGTGGAATTGGAGAATTTGCATTGCTGATATCAGCCATTTCTTAGTTAATTTGGTCAAAGTTAAATTTTATATGGATTATGGGACAGTGTGTCGTGCATCTGTTTTACAGTGCGTAACACAAATTTTGAATAACTGTAGGCAATTCTTCCATTGAGAGGTAAAATTCTGAACATTGAGAGAAAGGATGAAGCAGCCATGTATAAGAATTCAGAAATTCAAAATCTAATTCTTGGCCTTGGCCTCGGCGTCAAGGTGATATCTCTATCTCTTTTACATCTCTTGTGTTTCCTTATGTGGATCTGTGGAAAACTCAATGCAACAAACAACTGGTTTCTGCAGGGAGAAGATTTTAAGAAGGAAAATTTGCGGTACCATAAGATTATCATCTTAACGGATGCAGATGTTGATGGTGGACACATCCGGACACTTCTGTTAACATTTTTCTTCAGATATCAGGTATTGTTTTGGATTGAACAAAAACTTCCCTTAGATACTCGGTGGAGATAATCTAGTTGTAAACTTAACATGATGTTTCTTTTGACAGAGAGCCTTGTTTGATGCTGGTTGTATATACGTGGGTGTTCCACCTCTTTACAAGGTAGGTTTCATATCTTATGAACTTCAAACACATTTGTGTTTTAGATTTAAGAATTTCTAACCAAAAAAAAAAAACTGTTTTTCTTTAACAATGTACCAGGTGGAGAGGGGGAAAAAGGCACAATATTGCTACGATGATGCAGACCTTAAAAAGATTACCGCTAGCTTCCCTGCAAACGCATCCTACACCATTCAAAGGTTCAAAGGTAAATAAAAAAAAACTGAGCTATGAGATGCACATCATCTGGCTTCTCACCTAATATCAGTGTGTCGAGGGAAGTCATAGTACTCGTTGTTGGGATCCATATCGTGGGCAAAAAAACTTTACTAAGAAACTGTTCTGCGTTTGCAGGTTTGGGAGAGATGATGCCTGAACAGCTTTGGGAAACAACAATGAATCCAGAAACAAGGATATTGAAACGACTTGTTGTCGAGGATACAGCGGAAGCTAACATGACCTTCTCATCTCTTATGGGTGCTCGGGTAAGCCTACGAACTGCCATCTTCGTTGATTCTTTTTGATTAAAAACTCACAAGCTTTAACTGTATTCCTCTGTTCTGATACCGTTTTAAAAAAAAAAAATCAGGTTGATGTCCGGAAAGAACTTATAAAAAGTGCAGCGACTAGGACCAATCTGCAGAAACTCGACATATAAAACCGTTCCAGATTGTTGTAAACAAAACAAAAAAAATGCATTTGGTGTGTTTTCTCCGTTGGAAATTTTAATACCCTTAAAAGAGGATTTTATTAATCCATTAATGGAAAACACAAGAAGATGGAAACTTTGGAATAAGAACATCGAATCTCATCATCGAAACACATCATAAAAAAAGACACACAGAAACAACAAATACTGTATGATGATCGGAAACTCTAGGGCTTGGAGTCTCCATCAAAGCCACGCTGGAGAAATCCAACGGATGAGAGGTGCGAAACATCACTCCACGAATCGATGCTCCATTTCTCGTCACGGAAGTGAACCACATTAACCGAGGCATTAAGGAGTTTCCCGGCAGAGGCAGCTTGCGTGATTCTCAAGTAAATTGCCCTCAACACTCCTCCATGAGTCACCACTATCACTCTCTCTCCTTCAATTCCACACGTGCACATATTTTTACACGTAAGTTATAAACAACATACAGAGAACTTCTTTTACTTTATAGTTTATATCCAAGTACGTCATGAGTAAATGATCATCATTGTTACCTCCTCCGTTTTACAAAGAGTGTCATTTTGACATTTTTCACACAAATTAAGAAAATTATTAAAAATACAACTTTGTCCCTTATTAATATATTAAATAATTTGTTTTTATCTAATAAATACATTAAATTAATAGAGTTAAAATTGGAATATTGTTTAAAATTTTGCATTGAAAATATAAAATAACACTCTTTGTGAAACAAAAATAAAACCTTAAAACGACACTCTTTGTGAAACGGAGGCAGTATAACTTTAGTTATTATTGATAGTAATAAATTATTTAATACACTAAGGCAAAAAGACGAAAAATCATTATTTATTTAATTAATCATAAATATAACCTTCATATTCAAGATTTCTATTAAAAGTTTTTAATATTATTTTTAGCATCGCAACATGATCAAGTTTATTATAATCTAGATGGAATGATGGATTATATACCTTTGTGCTTCTTTGCAATATGCTCCAGAGCATTCATGGATCTATCACAAAGTTGGTCAAAGCTCTCTCCCCCTCCCTTTTGATTTGTATTCACATGCGTTCGAAATAAGACCACATCAAATATAAGATATATCCAAAAATCGATAAGAAAAAAAAAGTATATCCAAAATTTAAAAATAAAATAAAATAATCGATAAAATAAGGAATTAAGCTTACAGGAATCTCGAGGTCGTTTTGGGAAGAAAAAAAAGCAGAGTAAGCTTCAGGTTCTTTCTCTGCTCCTTCTTTCCAATACAGCCCTTGAAGGCTACCCACATGCCTCTCCTTTAACGCAGCTACTTCGGTCACCTATATGTACATACACCAAAGATATTTTATTGACACTACATTTTGGAAAGAGAAAAAATCGGAACTCCTAAAACTTTGGAACCCTAGCTGAAAAAATGTTTTTGTGCTATTTTCGATTTTTGTTTAAAAAAAAATTATTTGAAAAACATACATCTGAAATTTTCATTGAGTTTCTCTATCTTAATTTATCTAAAATCATGTACATTCTTGTTTTGTAATTTTCTTAGGGTAAAGAGATATATTTTACAGACCTCGGAACAAAAGCAAGTTTCTGCGATCATCAGAGCAGTGTCTTTGGCTCGCTTGAGGTCTGATGAATACACAGCTATAGGTCTCTCCTCTTTTCCCAATCTCTCAGCGATCTAATTAACGAATGTATATATATAAACAATGATCATTCATGCATGTGTCAAGACATTAATTAATGTAATAGAATCAAGGAGAAAGACTTGAAAAGGGACTTGATCTTAACTGCAACGGCCTGCTTTTTTCCAACTTCGTTAAGCTCTGATTCCATTTGTCCCTGCATTTGGCAGTTTTTAAGTATAGTATTTTTAATTAAATGTTTATGTGCATGCATGCATGCATGTATTTGTATAGATACCTGGATTCTTCCGGCTGCATTCCAAGTGGTTTCTCCATGGCGGACAAGAACAATCTCAGTCACTTCACTTTTAGTTTCGACATCGTCATTCCATGTGAACTCCTTCGATGCATCGTTACTACATTTTTATAATTTCTCTATTATTAGTTACAATATGATCATCATACATATAACATCAATAAATAGAATTCACAGAATTACTATATATGCATGTATCTGATCTCGCACATCAACTATTCATGATCAATATATACTCTAAAATGTGCTGTTAAATTATGGACTTTTGATCTTAGTGGAACACTGGAATCAGTAGAACTAAACAGTTTTATTTTTTATTTTTAAAAATTTAAGAAGAACTAAACAGTTATTTCATAATGAAGGTTTAACGCTAGCTGAGTTGTAGTGGATTAGCAAATCTGAATTAGCTATATATTTGTGAAGACGTGCTCTCTAATCCATAACAGAATAATTTGTATAACCGTTTAAACTTTGTGTATGTTACGATTAACAAAATAAGTGGTATGAAATTAAAAAAGAAAAAAAAAAATACCATTCATGACCCATGTTACTGGAAAGGGATATCGGTTTTTGTCGGTCGCAAAGTGAAAACAAATGGAAAAGAATAAGGCCAGAGAAGAAGAAGAGGTGTTGGCACTTGTGATGATAAAGTCGATTTGGGCTCTGCTTTTATAACCTTTTTCCCTGAGGAAAGAAAAAAAATGAGAAAAAAATAATAAAAATGATTAAAATTGTGGCAGCTCATCTGTTGATAGTGTTGGTATTATTTGTATTAACTATCAAAACACTTAATTATATCGTTTTATTAAAAAAATGTATAGGCATTGTAACCACGTGGATGTCGATACTTCAACTTTTTCAGATCGGAAAGTTCGGATTCATTTACAGGATCAGGAAAATACGTAGGGAATCTCCTAGAAATTAGAATGTATAACAACTCCATATTTATAATTGTTGCATTAATGCTTAATACGTTAATATTGCAATGAACTTTTTGGAACGGAAGTAAATTACTTAATCTTTTTACTGTGGAAATTCGAACTCCTGACTTTAAGAAAATCTACTAAAGTCTTTAAAATGTACGTATGGTATGACAACGTAAATTATGTAAAATATTGTAAGATGTGGGATATTTCCTTCAACTTAATCTACAGTAGCCAGTAAAAAGATTCCTGTCTCTGATTTACAGGCGACGACATAAGGCCAAGCAAGCGCGATATATAAAATATACACATGAAATTACCCTAAAAATGCTATAGAGCCAATAACGGTCGTTAAAAATGAGGTCATGCATGTGGACGGATAAATGAATTGATTCACTTCCTCACAATGAGGATCTGTGGTCGTATACCACATGTTATAATTTTTTGTGCTATGACCCTAAATTGCATTACTTTTCGAGATACGACATTGTTCAATACCGCAAAAAAAAAAACTTATTTACTTTGATTTAGTCGAACATTTTTTTTTTGTTTGTTAAAAATTAAGACTTGAATATTCAACTTTAGGTTAAAAATCTGTTATGCGATATATGTTTATAAGAACACTCTAAATTTTAAACCAATAATCGAGAAACACAGACGATAGCGTGAAATGATCAGCTATCATGAGATGATAGATTTTATTTCTTACAATCTTTTCAAACCGAATATTATCAGCACATACTAAATTTGTTTATATTTTACTGTTACGTAAGAGTTTATATTTTGCTGTTGATGAAAGTCGAACTCAGAGTCTAATATATCTCTTTCCAATTAGTTTTCGACTTTCGATTTTGACTGAGTGATGATAATACCTTACAAAATTTACAAAAAAAAATTGATTTGGTTTATCCACTGTAGTGAAACTTTTTATTTTTGAAAGTTAAAATGATTTTAATATATAATTATTATAATTAGGATAATTCAGATATTTAGAAACTAATATTTATGTGCTTAAAAATTAAAGCGGTAAGAAATTGCAATGAGTCAATTACAATACGTATATATCATTAGACAAACTCTTCAAAAAATTTAGAATAGGACACCAATATAATTAAAACCTCTAAAATGTTAAAATGAACTCTAGATATACGGTAACTTACCCCCAAAAAAAAACGTGGAAGTACACCTAGAAAAGAATGATCAATAATTCAATAGTAACATTATTAATTGGTCGCCGAAAGAAAATTAATAATAATATCCCGATCTAGCAACAACTGATTTATTTTCAGGTTGATTTGCCAGAGATTCCAAGAATTGTGGCATTGTTAGCAGTGGACCACGTGGGAAAAAAAAAGACAAAATTGCCAGCGTTGCTTTATATCGTCTGATTCCAATCTTTGAGGATTCGTATAATTTTCAAGTGTTAGTTAATCCTAATAATGTTTTCACAATCATACATTAAACAAAAATGGAAGAAACGAAAGGCTAAAGCTATGCTATTTGCACAATTCTTGGGAAGTTTTCCCAGTAAGATGCAAAAGCTGTCACTAATGATTAAAAATGCAAGAAAAAAAAAAACCAACTCTTGAACTACAAAACACATTTATTAATGACTCTAGTTGATTAACTTAGCACGAGAAATAAGATAATAAGATAATACAAAGCCCAGCCCAGCCCAGGCCCACTATGTTTTTTTTTAAGTCAAATTGATCGGAACCGATACCGGTGAAGTCTCTGGTTCCTTTTGTTCCAGATCGTGTGAGATTGCCAGGCAGCTGATCGAATGAGCTTGCTGCGAGGAGAGAGCAATAAAGGCAGCTGCTATAGATAGAGACCAATTAGATCGATCGAGAAAGAGAGAGAGAGAGCAGTGAGAAGCGATTAGCAAGCCATAGTTGTAAAGAGGTGATGCAATTTTTTTTTATCTTTTGAGTGCTTCTCTTATAGGCAATTTCATCTGTTTATTTTTTGAGTTTTTGGAAATAGGGTTTTAGTCAAATGTTATGCTTAATTAGCTAAGTTCATGTTTGTCAACGGACTGGATTTGTTTTTCATACAGAAACAAGGAACTAAAAAAATTCTTCTACTGACAGGAACTGGATCGCTTCTACGATTATTTCAGTGATGTCGAGTTTAACAGTGAGAAGGGTATCGCGTGAAGATATTCAACTGGTAACAAAAAAAACGACACTTTACATTTTATAAGGAATTTTCATGTTTCTCTTGAAAGTTGTCTCTTTTGCATTTATTTTGTTTGTTAGAGATTGTATCTTTGTGTCGTCTTTAAGAACGCGTTTGCATATTGTCTTTCCTAAGCTTCGGTCTAGTAAAAATGCATAATTTGTTTCTGGCCTGTTCTTTTTTCTGCAGGTTCAGAATTTAATAGAACGATGCCTCCAGCTTTACATGAACCAGAAAGAAGTTGTGGACACTCTACTGGAGCAGGCTAAGATCGAACCCGGTTTTACAGAACTAGGTAACCTCAACACTTTCTCGGGTTTGTTTGAAAAACAATTAGTACCTGATCGGGTAGTTCTCTTAGTTCAGAGTTGGTTCTGGTATCTTGATCTCTTGCTTAGAAGAAGTGTTGTAATGGGTATCAGGAATTAGATCTATGATGATGAAAGTAATGTGTCTACGCTTAGGTACTTATGTTTGCATATTTTCCTTCTGAGTTGACAGTTTGGCAGAAGCTTGAAGAAGAGAATCGGGAATTTTTTAAGGCATATTATCTGAGACTCATGGTTAAGCACCAGATAATGGAATATAACAAGCTGCTTGACCAGCAGGTACACCACATGCGTCAGACGCATCCAACCGGAGTTGCTTACGTCCAAAACATGAATGACTCTGATGTTCCATCAAGTAAGATATGTTTTGAAGCTAGATCGACTTTCATTTTCTATAGATTTATCATAAATTGTTGAACTACATTTTCTGTTCAGGATTTATTGAATTATTTAGATGGACCAAGATTTTCTGTTTGAAGCATTGATAGTCTTGTTTCACTATCTCACGTCCAAAGACTTTTGTAGTGCTTGAGGCTATAATATTCTACTGGTTTGATACTGCATGGAAGTAATGAGTTCGGGAGTGGTTTAACATTGCAGCTGGCATCATTTTTTTCAACAGTGAATCAACAACAATCATGCTTTGCACCCAAGGACTCAAATCAATCCTCTCCTAATCTATCAAGTGCATACCTCAATGGAGGATCACCACTTAACACAGATTTACCTTCTTCTGTGGACTTTTCACCCCATTCTAAAAGAGTTGATCCTCTACCGAACATGCTCTCCTTGCAGGCCACAAATACGCCTATGATGCAAGGAATGACCAAATCTGAGAATGCATATTCAAACTGTGCTCCTTACATGTATGGTGGTGAAGCACATTCAACAGTTGGAGATGCCTCCATTGCGTCTTTCAGCAACGATTCCAGCAGCCAAGCCATCAATGATCCACTTGTTGATGCAGACGCTTCTACATTTGGGTTATTAGGTCAAATTCCTCGGAACTTCAGCCTCTCTGATCTGACGGCTGATTTTTCACAGAGTTCAGGTCCTTCTCATTCTCATATAATCATATATATGCTCTCCCTTTTTCCCTAGCTCGCATATACTTGCGGGGGTGTTTTAATTTGGCTTTGATAATTTAGGATTATTTGTTTTTTAACCGTAACTTGCTTGTTAATACCAGAGATTCTGGAGAGCTACGATAGATCACCATTCTTTCTGGCCGATGCTGAAAATCTCCTGGACTAGCGAAAGGGAAGAACATCAAGGTGTGCACTCTAAGCTTCATTAATTGTTACAAAACAAGAAGATAAAGATTCATGTCGAACTCAATGTTTGGCTCATCTAAGCTATTATGCAAAGAGATGAAACATTCTCATAAACTGTAAATGATCGAGACACACCAGACAGTTTTGCAGGGAAATAGAAGAGTGAATAGTAAATAACCAAATTTTTTTTTGTTTTCTTCTTACAGGAGACCACGAGAGATTGGGGACTCAGAAAATAGGTTTTCAGTGAAAACATCGGGAGCAAATAGGTTTGTTAGGTTTTGGGAACTTTGACCTCTGCAACTACTTGCAGGTTTTTAGTCCCATGGTCAGTGTACAGAGAGATAAACCTGCCGTTGGAAAGACAATTTTTGGGTGGGGTGTATACTGATGTATTATTTTTCTTTATTGTGGAGAATTTTGGTTTTAGTGATATATATTGAAGAAGGGTAATTTGATTGTATCAGTGTATATTATTGGATATTTATTTGTAACATGTAAGACCCACTAGTAAGGTTCAGATATTCTTGAATGTAGTCTATAAAACTTGTAAAACCCATAAATATGTTCAATTTATCTCTTTTGTGTCAAGCCAGTATGAATGGGTTGCGTAGAGTCAGCCTAACTCATAAAATATGTTGATATCTTTACATTATATTAGTATAATAATAAACCTTCTTTGAATACACACAAACATCACACAGATAGTATAGGAAGATTCAGGTTGAGCTACTATGTTGGTTCTGCAATCTCACTGGGTAATAATAATAGATAAGGAAAGCCATTCTCAGACACACAGGAGGAAAGCCATCCTTCTTTTCCTTAGAAACACATCTCACAAACCCAGCAGCAGCATAATGCAAAGAGACTACATAGGAATAAACAAAGAAGCAGCAAAACAGAGTCAGTGCTAGAAATACAAAAACAAATTTTTTGCTGATTAGCTAGAACAAATTTTTTTAATTTTCGGTTGCTATAATAAAGATAGTGAATGATTTTGTTATAGCTAATACCATCCTTCAATGAAGCCTCTGTCTCCTTTCTGCTTGGTCTTGAAAACCTTCTTCTTCTCGTCTTGTCCAAGTTGTTCAGAGACTTGTCCTGCAGCTGGATATCCTGTCAAGAGAGTTAAGTGCTACAAATCGTCTACTTTGCTTTAGAAAACATGTTTGCTTCATTATCAGTTACAAACTAGAAATATCCTGACCTTGTGGAGGAAGTTGATTTTCTGCGATTCCCGTGTCCTTGTGCATCTTTCTTACAGAAGAAGATGCTCGTCTCTTTGTTTCAGATTGCAAGTGGAAACACACGAAAGAGGATTGTGATTCACAGATTTGGGAATATGATTCTTGGTTTAGGTAGTGATAAGATTAAACATTTTTGCGAGGTTACTTCTCTTTATATAAGCTCTGATTTCTTAAGCTATTATAAATTATAATGGTGGCAGTAGCAGATGAAATATTCTTCTTTTAACTTTTCTTCCGGCTTTCGGCTTATTCCTTTACATCTTTATACCTTCCTTCACGAAGAAACTAAATGTGAAAAAAGGAGACTTTTATTTCACCTTTTATTTTGAGTTTCTTTACAACCTTTTCACACTTGTTTGCTTTTCTTAACTTTGTCCTTGTCCCGTCTTGTTGGAGAATTTTGTAAGATAAAGGAAAAGGTACAACTGTTCATTTGTTTGCGACTTCATTTAGGTAAAAAATTTGTCCATCTAATCTTCTAAAGTTTGTATTTCCAAAAACTCTAAAAGTTTTTCTTTTGATATAAGCAAGAAGAGGGCTTTGGAAGAAGCATTTGCATGCATTTGGGTATTATGAAGCCGATTTGGTATTAGGTTCAAATATGAAGCCGATTTGGTATTAGGTTTATCTTCCTGCAGCGCCTACGCTCTTTTTCTATCCTCTCATCATCTCTCTCGTGAAATAGAATCGTTCCGCTTAAATCGTAAGATTGAATCTTCAACAACAAAGCATGTACATCTATTATATATAATCAATCAACGAACAAGGGTTACATAAGTAATCTTCAATTTCTTTTCGCTTAGAAACCAAAAGAGTAGAATAAAAGAAAGAATTTCTATGTTCTTTGCTTCTACAAAAAAAAAAAAATCGACAAACGTGATGTTTCAGACGATCGCCCAGAACTTCTTTCTACAAAACAGAACAGTTTGTGTCTTCTTGTATTTATTTTGAAGCTCATGTGTCTCCACTTCCCAGAGGAATTTTAGAGCCAAGTCTCGGACTCTTGAGATGATCGATTCCTCGTCCCTAATAATGATGAATCCCTGCAAACCCAAAACCCGCATTAAACACTACTTCCAGCAAAACAGACACTGCAATAAGATGAGACGGGCATATGATTCATTTGACAGTGACAACAATAAGACAAAACATGGCTTATGGTTAATGCTATGTTAATTACCTGAGGGCGTATGATACGGTCCATCTCAAGCATGACGTCCTCTAGTAAACAACCTTCACCGTAGATGTGATAGTGAGACAAGAGATTGTCCGCGTGTATCAGATCGTATGTGCGGGGATATGTTGAGAATGGCTCACACCTACGACCACATAAACAAATGTTTTTAACTACTGGTGCTAGAGTTAAAGTGAGAAAGGATCAAACTTTTGAGAAAGTGATCATCTTTGCTTACCAGTCATGATAAGCGCCGGTTAAGCCCCTCTGGTAAATTCCGGATAAGGTATCGTTCATAGTAGCAGGTACAACGTTCATGACCCAAACGGGATATGAGTTCATAGCTGCAGCAAATCCACCAATGAACGCGTTTGTGTCCATCACATTCCGCACTTCAGTCTCGTTAACATTCATTAACTCCCAATAACGATTCACTTGTTCTCGCCAGAAGTTTGTGTCTAATGTAAATTCATCTTCGCTGATACCTGGTGAAAAATTTTCCATGTGAATTAACGGAATCAAACAGATCATAATGTCCTTTCAACAATGAATTTGAATATAAGAAATGTACCTAATTTTCTTAGACTTGTCGGATATGCCGATAGACGTTCGGCTAAAGACGAGGGTTTCTGTTTTATGTTCTCACTAATGTCCACACAATCTCTAAGAGGAACTTTCCATGAAGCTTTCGAAGCAGCATCCACATCACATATAGATATAAGCTCAAGCTCTGCATTCTTTCTAAGGCAAGCCTCATCATCTTCTTTAACCCATATTGCAGTCTGTACCTTTCGGGAAATGAGCCTCCAGCACATTGCGGTAGTTAGATTGACCAACTTATCCCAAATCACAGGGAAATCTTTATCCTTTCTGTAAGCAGGTGGTGCTGAATAAACAAAGTATCCATTGGGTCTGAGAAGACGATTGACCTCTTTAATCAAGATACCATCTGCAGAATCAAGCGCAATTTATTGGCACTAGTAGGCAATCACTGATACAAAACCAAGCAAGGCACTGACAAATAGAATGCACAACACAAGAGACTTACCATTTTCATGCCAATCAACACGACATCTTGAACAGTGAACCATATCAAACGAGGCTGCGGGATATGGCATTTGTTTGGTGGCTATGGCAGAGATCATCGCACCAATTCCTCTCTCCAACGCAAACTGGATTTGGTTTTCATGACCATCTTTAGGGGCAAAAGACATTGTCCGTATACCTAAAGGAAGTAGATAAGCTGCAAAGCTAGCAACTCCACATCCAACATCAAGAACTTGTTCAACCCCAGCTGAACGTAGGTCACCCGTTTCGTTAGTCGTCATGTTTCCTAACCTGAAGTTACATACAATGATTCAGAGAAATGCATATCAAACCCGGTATGAGCTTCCCTCTGCGTAAAATTGCAAAGCAATCCCTGAAACCAAACAAGTGATAATTTCAAATACCTCTGGATGTATTCTGGAGCTCCGTGTTTGAAGTGAGTGCCGCCACCAGGGAACCACCATAACTGACCTTGTTCGTGCACCCAATTCTGACCGCCTTTGACTTGAGCAAGATGTGTATGATTCACATTGCTTCTCCACACATAATCTCTGCTGGTCGGCCAACGTATCGGTATCTTATAATCTTTTGGCGGAGGCACCAGACAAAACAGACGCTGTTCAAGTGGCGGGCAGTGTCTCTCAAGCTCTTCTCTTCTCGAAACATTCAAGCTTGGGAGAAGCTGTTGCACATAAGTGATATTGTGACAAGGGATATACTCATTGAACTCCAATGGACAAACATTCATTCCACTTTCTGGGATCACAACAGGAGCTCTTCGGTAAGTAAGCGCTATCTTGTTGGCAAAACTTGATGGACCTGCAACCACAAAACTGTTGCTTTATCGATTTATGTCCTAATCCAGATGGGCAAAAGCAAAAAATAGCAGCATCTGTGAATTCCCAGAAAGAAAAAGTTCCAACTAAAACGAATTGATGGGATCAAAGAAGAAACTAGCGAGCTAAACTGAGAGATTGTTCCTCGACGAAATGAGTTTAGAAAGCGCTCAATCTAGAACAGAAACCCAATGGGTTTCGATCAATTTAGCTCCAAAAACCAAGAGGTTAAGCCAAGGACGGAAATCTAAAGATATGCAGAAAAAAGGAGAAACATTGAAAATACAGAGGGGGAGAGAGCGAACCAGATGGCGACGGCGAAGAAGAAGAAGAAGAATTGGAAGAAGCTTGGGGAATGTAAATAGGTGAATTGTTTCCGAAAATATAGCCGGCGAAAAATGATCCAACCACCAGCACGAGAGCCACCATCATCGTTTGCCCCGATCTGGCCGAACCCAACACATAACCTCCCATGGCTTTTTATTCCTCTCTTATTCTTAAACAAATCTCACGCACTTCCTTCTTCTTCTTCTACCTTTTCTTCTACTCTCGCTCGCTCGCTCTTTGATTATCTCTTTATACTTTGCTTACTGAAATTATGTGAATCTATTGAGTGACTGAAACCACGCAAAGCTCAACCTCGAAAAGAAACAGAGAAGACGAAGAAGAGATCTCACATTCATTCCGGCTCTACCCCTATTGCTTCCCGTCGGCAACCCATGTGATGGACACGTGATACAACTTAATTCTTCATCTCTTTTGCAAAATTGTCCCAAAACTTCTTATATTCATACATTCACCCCTATATTTTCATTATTATTCTGGGTGCCGTTATGAGTTTTTTTTTAACCACTCACTATAACAGAGTATTGACCTCATTTCTTCTTACACGATACATAAACATACTTGGAAGTAACAGATATCACCTGAGATCGACGAATGAACTACCATCGACATCCTGAAGAGTCATTTTACCCAAGTATACATGACTAATGTGAGTGGAACACAAAGGGAGACATTTCCGATTCAAAGCTGAGTGAATTGTGCCCATGCCATGAACCCATTTCTCTTCATCTAGTGGGTTGATATGCAAACGGTTTTGCAATAGATGTACACGGTACATGATTGTATCTGATCGTTCACAGAAACTAGCAGCACAAGAATGCAATGGCTCATCAGATGCAAGCCTGATCAAAAGCAATGACAGTGTCCCGTCCACAGGTCTCGGGTCTGAAAGGTTTTTGTCTCCCATCATCTTAACCTCTCTTTCCAATGGAAAATGCGCCTCTTCACTCCCGTTAAGATCACACACTTTGAGATCTTTCGTGTAGTGTCTAATAGCTTCACGTTTAGTGGATCTGTGCTTCTCTGCTAGTGTCAAAATACAGGAGAACCTCATGTGATAACTTACAATGATTTTGACCATCCTATAATTGTGGCAACAACAGAAGAAATCAAGCCATTTACGCCCTACACCCGCATACCATTTGATGATATCAGAATCCTCAAGAGCCAATAGGTGGCTGATAGGCCGTGGCCTGCCCAAGCTGTTTGTGAAGCCAACTAATTTAACAGCCTTTCTGATAAGTTCCTCCGGAGCTGACACTTTCATGCATAACTTAGTCAAATCCTCAACTGTCCTCTCAGCATATCTCTGTTCCTCTTCTTCCTCTACTCTCCTCTCCTCATCCTCTAGTACCCTTTTAGCTTGGGTTGGTGCTAAATGTTTGTCCACCTGCTCCTGAAATTCATCATAAGCATCAATCAGGTCTTGTGGTAATTTCTCTCGTATATGTCTCAAAGAGAGAAAATCTCCTCTAGTGAGAAGCCAATGCCATTTCCAGCGCTCCTCGAGAGACCCCAAAAATTCTTGCATAACTTCTTCTTCCCATCTCTGGAAAACATCCCTGACCTCATTCTCTATCTCATACTCACATCTGAATCCGTTGCTCTGCTTGAGTTTCTTCAAGACGTGTCTAAATATTTTCAGGCCCAGTTTCTTTCGATTCCTCTCCCTAGCATTTCTCAACTCCAGTCTCCTAACTTCCTTCTGCCTCTGATACTTCTTCATTGCTCTGACCGCCTTCTCAGACATAGGAGGGCGCAAAACCGAAGGTGGAACAGCCTGAAGATACATCCCTAAGAAGCTTATCTTCTCTGACACTGCACTATGAATCGCTGTGTTCACTCTATCTACTTTCAGGTCTAGTCTCTGTTCCAAAATGTCTACAATCCTCTTCTTCAAATCCATAGTCAGCATTTTCGAGCCAGATGTTATCAAAAGTATCTCATCCAAATACCTAACTGCATAAAGATTTACTGGCTTGAAGAAAACATTACATGTCGATTCCTCCTCACCAGTATCACTAACACGAGGATTCTTCAGTTTCGTCTTAAGCCTCATATCTTGAATCTCCTTGTCAAGTCCATCAAAGTAAACATTGATCAAGATCGAAGACAATCCACATTCTTGTGGAAAACCTCTTCCACTGTTACATCCACCAAGCTCGATTCGCAGAATCCCAAACTCAAACAGCTTCTTTATCATCTCAATCAACAAACCATCGTTGATTTTCTCTCCAACAAAACCACAGAGCTTATCCACATTCCGATCATCGAACATCTCTCGAGCAAACGAAACACGAAACCACCAGCGTGGATTCTCCACCGAGTTTTTCAGGTAACGAATCGCTGTATGCCTACCCATTCCAACGCGCCCACCATACGAAAACGTCGCGAATCGATCATCATACACAATCTCGAGAACCATCCTAATAGCTTCGATCAACACTTTCAGTTTCAGATTAGGGAGAACAAGAGATTCACATCGTCCATTTTCTCTTGAAGAGACGAATTCGACGCAACAGGAACGGATATCAAACTTGCCCTCGCGTATCTCGCGCCCCATTTCTTCGATTGAGAACCTCCTGGAGACGCAATCGGCTAACTCGGTGGACGAAACGCCCGAGTTGGCAGCGAGAGACAGATTCTGACAGGCGGCGAGAAGGACGGAGGGCAAAGCAACGGCGTTTTTAACGAGACTATAGAACTTCCCATGGGAGTATTGCTTGAGAACTAGGGCTTCGAGCTCTGATTTCACCAATGGTTCACCAGTGGTTTGGTCGGAGTTCAAAAGAAGAGAAGCCGTACTAAGATTCCTCAAAGAAGAAGAGACAAAGAAGGAGATTCCACGTTTGTAGAGAGAGTGAACTCTCAGCTGCAAAACCATGGAATTGCCAAGTTCACTGAAGTGTCGTCTGAATTTCGGTCAGAGATTGAAACTCGGGTGGAGAATAGTTCACCGGCGGCGACGGAGGAGGAGTAGAGAGGGAGAGGAAGAGAACAAATTAGAGAAATCCGATCACTCTCTTTTGGGCTTTAATGGGCTGGATCTCAATGTAAAATAGATCAAATTTTGGTTCGGTTTGGTTTGGTTCAGCCAATTCGATTCTGTAATTCTGTCCAGATTTACATTAATTCGTGCAATAATAATGATTACGCTTTTTGTTATATGTAATTATAATCGTTTGAAAACTTTGAAAACGTTGAACGTTGGTTAACAACATTATTATGATTACTATTGATGTCCGTAACCACCTAGCTTCCCCGACAAACGCCAAACCAATCCAGGTGTTACCAGACATCGGTTCTAGTAAACCGGAATCTTCTGAAAAAAGGTAACCGGAACCGAACCGTTATGTTCTTCTTCATCATCATCATCATCTTCTTCGTCCCTTTCATATTCTGAAACAGAGCTATTATCCATCTCCTTCTCCGGTATATCGAGCAGTACACTCTCTGGTAGCTCAGTATTCAGGCATTTTGTGAGCACTACTTTGTAACCACCTAGCTTCCCCGACAAACGCCAAACCAATCCAGGTGTTACCAGATGTTGGCTCAATCATTGTGTTCTGAAGTAAATCACCAAAAAACTTGGACTTTTAGTCTGATTTTTAGTGCCGAAAAAAGTAAAACAAGGACTTGTACCTTTCCGGGAGTAAATCAATCTCTTGTCTTCTGCATCTTTAATCATATTATAAGAAATCCTTTCAAGCGGAAGATCATATTCAACCAAAGAAAACCAACAGCTTTCTAGCTCAGGATTACAAAAAACATTTGGAAATCGTGTTCATAGCTGTGTCGGCTGATACTTGAATATTTTCTTCATCGAAAACCAGAGTATTCGTGTAGGCGTAGAGCAAAACGTAAATATGAGAAACAACCGATCGGAAATAAAAATGGTCAAACACAGAGAAAAAAAAAAAAAAGCAAAACGACAACTCATAACAAACAAAACGCAAACTATATAAAGTGATGTTAATAATATAGAGCTAGCAACATGTCTACTATTTGCTCAAAATAAGCACCAAAACGACAATCTCATATAATGTAAAACGCAGGCTACTCGCTCACTTTTAAATTTTGGCCAAAAATGGGCAAAATCGATGGACTATATAACCCACGAATTAGGCCAAACGCGCGCAACGCGCGCAACTTGTTTTCGGATAGATTACTGTTCTCTCTGCAATTTTCCATTTTCTTTGTCTTCAATTCCGTGTCCGTCGTGGGCATATTGTCAATGTGAAAAATTCGAGCTTTGTAAATTCATAGGTTACTTGAGAGCTTTATACAGTTTCGAGAGAGGAAAATCAAACTGTATTTTCTGTTTTGAAAGTTGCAGTTTGTTATTTGGCTTTACAAAAAACACAAAAGTATCTGTACCTCTTGATCCTTTATTTTGCAGTTAGCTAAAGACATGTCTTTGCCTTGAGACAGAGCATTAAGCCTGCTGTATCTTTGTAGAACTCCTTTTAATAAGTTTTTCTCCACTGTTTTGAAACCTCAAGTGATTTGTGACTTGTGACTTGTGAGTGAGATTTCTTGAACTTGAGAACTAGTGTCTTTGTTATGCAACGAGTTGTTGAACACTCGGAATAACACGGAACCAAATAAGCGAAGAATACAACAAAACCTTAAAAAAGCAAATTATATTTGCTAGAGTCATGACATTACAATCAATAAAGAAGAAAAGATATATTTTTGGGGATTGCTGCTTCGCATCACCATATAAAACACTAGAATCCCTTATCTTCTTCAAGTTCAAAGTTTCTGATGAATACCCATCACCAAAAGAGTGTTATTTTCATCAGTTCTTTTGTTCTTAACACTTTTCGGTGAGCAGATCACAAAATTTTGGCTCAAAGTTGATTTACCTGTGCCATAAATCACTGTTGTAGGTGGGCTGAGCACAGCCTCCTTTTCGTAATTTCATTTAGGCCCGTTAGCGAAATGAAAGCCCAGTAAAATCGAAGACCACCAAACCCATGCGCGAGAGTGAAACGAGGTCGTTCGGGGAGATGACATTTTATATCAAAGGAGCAGCTCGCCACCTCGACACGGATGGGACAGCTTGCCACGTCGACAGCTCGCCAGCACGACGTTCTAATAGACGGTCGATCAGGTCTATCTGCTCGGCCGCCCAAGCTACTCTGACCGAGATGTAACCTAATTTGAACACTATAAATAGCCCTGTAACTTCATTTATTACGGGATCCGTAATCTGAAATAGAGATTAAAACACTCGATACTTAAAATCTTCAACTCTTACCTCGTTTACTTGACCTCGTAATATCACCTCGAAAACATCATATCGATCTCACCTCTATTCAAACAAGAATCTCCGAACTCCACCTAGATATATTTACCTAAATAACCTCGTGTGCGGATACAATACAACAATCACTTGTTGAACTACTCTTCCACTTTCAAGGTTTTGCTTCCAGCTTTAAGCCATTTTTTGGGTTGATTGTAGGCTTGTTTATATTGAGTTTTTTTTTTTGGTCTCGTCTATACATTGAATGTAACGGAAATTACGTTAATCTGATTTAATCTATTCAACATTTTTGAGGTAGTTATGGAAACATATATTGGTCAAGTCAATGTATTGGTAAACTTAATTAATGGGGGAAAAAATGATAGCGTAATTAGCTAAAAGTTTACAAAATACAATTTTTTTTTCATTCTAAATACTAAGTTTATCCTATCAATCCTTCACAATATTTGCTATGTAAGTACCTTTATACCATCAAAAATAAATGATTTCTTACGTTTCTTTAAAATTTACATGTTTTCTTTAATAACTGTTAAAAAATTGCTATATATATACAGGGGTAATTGCCCTGTTTTCCAATCTATAAACTGAAACCAATAGAGTAACATTATCAATATTTTATTTCTTTTCTTTTTCTGAAATTTACAGATATAATCCAATTCCACAAATGAATAAGAAAAAATTTAAACAATAATCAATGAAAACATACACAACACGCACCTTATACTATTTACAAGGCACTAATAACCCTATGAAAACTCTCCAAACTCGTGTCAAACAAGAATCTAATCTGAATCAATTGAGAATCTCTTCGCTCCAATCAATCTGTCTATGCATCTATAACACTACCAGACATCGGTTCTTGTAAACCGGAATCTTCTGAAGAAACGGTAACCGGAACCGAGCCGTTATGTTCTTCTTCTTCTTCATCATCATCTTTTTCGTCTATTTCATGTTCTGAAACAGAGCTATTATCCATCTCCTTCTCCGGTATATCGAGCTGTACACTCTCCGGTAGCTCAGTATTCTGGTTCCCGGTAGACATTCCCAAGTTCTCTCTTTTAACTACGTTTAACACAAACCCGTTACTCGTTCTCTCGGTCTGTAGAAGATCACCTTCAGTAACTGTTATGCTTGAAGTGTTTGCTCCAATGCTGTTTGGTTCCCTCCTCTCAGATTCGCCCTCGGAATGAGCCACCATGGATCTCGAGCTCGGACTAAAGCTTGGACTAAACGGGCCAGGAACCGCTGGGGAATTGGGACTGCTACTAAATCCTCTGGTCAATGCAATGTCGATATCGAGACCCTGAACAAAATCCATGAACTTATTAGCAGAAGCTGTTCTCATCAAAGGTCCACCAGTTCTCGTCCAAGAACTCAAATCCACGCTTTCGGTTTCACTGTCGCTTAAATTCCTTCCTGAAGACGCGTGGAGATTATTGTCAGCTACGAGGTCATCGAGTGAACCCGTTGAGTTCTCTCGAGCAATGACGTTCCAAGATGGGATTCTTCTAGAGGCATTAAATCTGGTGGTTGAAGCTAATCCGTGATGAGACGATGACGTGCCACCATTAGCGGCTCTCTCGGCGCTTCTCTTGAGCCTGCGCATATGGTTAAGAATAGCTACACACTCATCAAGCGCAAGCTCGATCCCACAGTTTGCTTTAATGGCTGAGAGCTTCTCCCAAGTACATCTTCTTCCTTGGTTAGCAGCTTTCTGAAGCTCGACATGAGTCGGGTTTTGTATAATCTTCGAGTACTGCAAAAAAAAAAAAATCCAAAAAATAATAAGAATCTAGCCACTCCAAAGCCTCTGACTTTAATCAAAGAAAATTCAATAATTCAGGTTTTGGATCAGAACCTGAGCAAGAGTAGCAGGCATTACAACTGTTACATCGCCTTCCCATTCCTGAGCAAAAAGCTTTGCGAGTCCACCGAGCGGAAAACCGAGCTCTAACACCTGGTTGCATCTATGTTTAACCTCCATCTCCACTAGATGCGCAAGCTAAAAAGGCAGAAAATAAGGTTATATCAGAAACAGAGTCTGACAAAAACAGAGTTAACTATGCAGAATACATACCTTAGCAGCAAATCTACCACCGTAAGCTCGAACTATATCCTTTAGACGCAGTAACGGTGCAATGTGAGGATTGGCTTGGCTCACAATAAAATGATTGACATTAAACAGTTCCTTGAGCTGCATCATCGGTAAATCAACCTCCAAACTACCATCTCTCCACCGGCGTACAGATGATTTAGTGCCTTCTTCTGGATCCAAATTGAAGGGTGGATGGTATGGCACGATCTCTCCACTTCGATCTTTAGCCATTAATTCTTGAGCTTCAAATAGACCGGGAAAAGCACAAGAAGCAGTCACTGCACTCCATATAACCACGTGAGGCGATGTCAAATAGTTGAGACACCGAGGCGGTTCGTGCTTTCTTGGGGAGCAAACTGTTATCCCGAGTATCCTTCCTGTCATATCATAAGCTTCTTGGAATGTGAGATTGCATGTGAGGTTTCTAAGCATACACTGCAACTGTCTGATATCGTGTAGAGCGCCTTGTGTCATTACCCGTTTCACGATTGAGAAAACACCTCCGAGCTGATCAAAGAACTGTAAAGAATGCAAGGAGTTCTCAAAGAAACCCTGTAGCTCTGGCCAAGACCTTGAGGCCACAACCGCACAAATTATGGATCCAACACTAGAACCTGCGACTATCCGAGGTAAAAGCTTATGCTCAACCAGAGTCCGAACCACACCTACATGAAACGCACCAAGAGAAGCCCCACCGCTCAGAAGCAAAGCCGTTCTACCAAAGGCATGCCGTGTTTCATGCATAAACGAAAGCTTCTCTTCTAAAGAAAGCTCCTCTGAGTCAGAGTTACAGACCATTCTCAACTGAGTAGAGACCTCATCGATATACTCTTTTATATGTCTAGGAACCTGAAGCCTCCCTTTATGAAGCTCCGAATTACACATATTACCGAGATTCCTCACAAGATCAGCTCTCATACAGAACATGATGTCTCTGAGCGATCCTTCTTGGCGACGATGACGAAGCTCCTGAAGCTTGTTCTTAACCAATTCTTCATCATAAAGATCAGATTCATTCAACTTTGGTGTCTCCTTCTCTAGCATCTTAGCAGCATGAGCCCATTCCTCATAAGTCAAAGCAGTGCGCATCATGTTCCTCCAGAATTTCCTTCTGTATGCCATTTCCGCCTTTATTTTCACGTTTGTGTATCGTTTTAACACGAAGGCGATGATTGTGACAACTGCTAAGATCCCTTGTGGGTTCCGGGGATGGAACCAGGATACAAACGGTGATACTATCAGCTTAAATCTAAGGAACCAATGCAGCAAGAAACGAAAGAGATCACGCCTAAGCTGTATCATTGATTTGCAGAACAAGACTCTAAAAGCGATGGTCCGACCCATGATAGAGGTTGGTCCGATTGAAAATGGATCAACATTAGCCTCGTTACTTATATCCATTGTGGATGGTTTGTGTTCTTCCACTGCAAAGGTAAACAGATACATGAGTACTAAATGAACACTCACGGATTTATTGAACACGAGTCATGATCTATTCTTAGTATTCGAAACCGAGTCAGCATTTTTGTTTCCCCAAATTTGACTACCAAAACGAAACTGGCAAAATCAAAATCGAGCAAAGGAAACTGATTTTTAAGAAAAGTATGATCTTTTTTCTGCGTGTGTAAATAAAGCTGCAAATCGCGAAAGGAGATTCCGACGAGATCATGAACTCGAGCTTTCTTAGCGAAAAAATCAAAAGCCCAGGAAACAAAAAGAGAGATTTGAAGCCAACAGAGAAAGCGCGGAGATTCATAACAAACACCGTGATCGGAAACCAGATCAAATTAGAAAACAAGCAAATTACCTGAGCCAGGAACTTGGTTGGTCAGAACAAAATCGAGAAGCAAGAAGAGACGTGAAGCAGAGAGTTTACTTGGGAATTGAGGAGAAATGTGAGAGAGAGACGTAAATTATTTACAGGGGAATAAAAAATAAAAATAAAAGAAGATTGCATAGGGAATCGCGACGGGATAAGAGAGGGCGATAATGGTGACTCAGACTCGGCCGAGAAATGGCCGATCACGACGGCTTCTTTTTTTTTTCTTTTCTTTTTTGGATAAACGTGAAAGCGAGAGAGAGAGAGAGAGAGAACAAACAAAAAAGGTCGTTGGATAAGATTTACGCAATTCCCACGTGGTGTGTAAAACATCATGGTGGTTTGTTTTTATAAACTAAAACATCATGGTGTTGTCATGTGGAAAGACTAAACAACCTGTAGTTTCAAGTTAAATGATCGATTATTTATTCTGAACGCCGAGTTTTTTTTTTTTGCTTCTCCAAACGCTGTGTTTTAATTTTATTTTAAATTATTTAGAGTAAACAGTATTTTTACATTATTGTTTGTGATATTTTTGAAATTTTAAATTTAGGGTTAAGGTTTAGATTCATAAAAAGAAAAAAAAAAAAAGCTTAAAAACTGTGACGAAATTAACTTTTCCAAACTTTGGAAAACTAACATTTTGTAATTCCCTTGTTTAAACTTGGGTCCAATCATATTCTTTCTGTTTTACATCTTTTGAATATTTAGAATTCCATTTTTATCATCAATAAATTGTCGTATTTGAGTGGATTTCGACATTGATGATCGAAATGATGGAAACCGGCCGTGGTTGTATCTTCGACTCGGGGTTGTAATTCCATATACAACTCACATAATATATGCATGCGAATATATATGGTAACATGCACTGGACTCTAGTATATGGAAAACGTATATTACGATTCTTGTTAATTTTACCCCACTATAATTTATGATGGACACGAATATATTCTACCAATTAAGACACATTATGAAAGACAAAAATAAATATCTAGAGAGAAGCTGAAGAGCCCTAGCTAGCTAGTTGAATCAGTCACAAATCATGGCGCTTCGTATCAACCACGTGAGGTTTCTTCTTATCGTTGCTCCATTAGTCCTCATGGTGGTGACTTCCGTGGCCGGAGAAAGTTTTCCGGTTGATTCCTCGGTGAAACAAGATTCAGCAAAAGGAAATACGATTAGGGAAGAAGTTTTTCACGACGATTATGGTTCTTGGAGCCCGACTCCAAAAGTTCCAAGAGGTAGTCCAGCACCTATTCCTCATGATTTTACACGACCACGTAGATTGAAGGTCTAATGGATGACCAATATCGAGATAACTGATTCGTTTTTGTTAACGATCAACTGGATTTTCTTAAGATTATTTACAGGATTTCTAAATACATTATATGGTGTTTAAATTTTATTTCTGTCCTTTTGATTATTATGCATCTATATTATGATCCTAGGAACTAGTTAAGAGTTTCGATTACCAGACTGTTTGGGATCTTTTTTTAATACATTGAATCGATGATAAGTTTTTAGTATTTTTCTTACTGCCAACTGATTAACTTTTTAGACTTGTATAAGGGGATGATCTATACATTTGTCAATCTCGTTGTCATGCATATATATCTGAACAAATTGTACAGCCAACACGATCGAACAACAATTTATTTGCTGATAATTTTATGTTATCTTTTTTCACAGATGTTCAGAACTAATTAAGAGAAACAATATATATATATATATATATATATATATATTCTTATATGTAACATGAATATGTTTTTAAGAATTCGAAATAATAACAAATAAAACAAACCTGAATTATAACAACATCAGTTCTATGCAACATGTATCAAGCCAAACATATCAGAGAGTTGTGTTTGTCACCTTTAGGATTCCCATCTTAAAAGTAAATCAGAATTGATACCTCAAAATATGAAGACGTTCTGATTTGTTTCTTGTGGATTTGTTCATGCCGGGGCGAAATTCAAAAACCCTCGGATTTCTTATGGCTTTGGCCTTTTGTAACTCTCTTCTTCTTTTCTCTTTTTGTAATTCTTTTAGTGTTGCAGACTTATCTATATTTTACCTTTGTCTATGCTTGTAGGATTGTAGCGAAGTATGAAAGTTGTTCGTTCTATATATGCCAAGATCAATTGTTAAAGAATGTGTGAATATTGCTTTAATTGTTTCAGATTTGTATTGGTAGATTATTTTTACTAGCTTACCGTTGATAGTGTTCTCAATCTACAAGAGTCTACTTGAGAATTTTTTGGGATACAATTAGAGCATATAAGAACAATCCGATCAAAGCGGTGATTTCGGAGAGATTTGAAGTCACGTGGTTAACGTGTCATCAAACACATGTTTCTTGGGTCCTACATTTACGCGTTTTTATTTATTTTGATTTTTGTTTGTAGGATTTTACTACCTTGATTGACTGATTACTAGATCATTAGAATGATGATTTTCTACATCCATTAGAATGATGATTTTCTACATCGGCAATGAAAGATTTAGTGGAATCTTGAACATATATAAACTTTGGAACACAGCTCACATGCTCAGTGATTAATATTCAGTATTTACTGTCTACAGTATAAATACAGTATGCGTTTTCTGTTTGTCTCACAATATCGGTTAACTGGAATATATCTCTAGATTCTTTACAATGAATAAATATCGAACTAACAACCACATTCATTGTCCAATTAATTCTCTGCATAAATAAATTCATGTTATTTTCCTTATTTCATTAATGCAATTTCAATTTAGTAGTTTTAGACTTTTAGTCAATGAACGCTCTTTCTTTTCTGAATTATGATATCTCAACAAAAACTGATGTGCATATATAAGAACGAAAACCCCTAATATGTATTTATTTCACGTACGTTTAATCAAGGAGAGAAATTGACATAAACTCTTAAAAAGTTACAACAGGCATTTTTTTTTGCCGTAAGTTACAATTATACAATTATTTGTCCAATTAATTAATCTTGAAGTTTTTTTTTAATTTTTAAAAAACTTCTTAGATGAGTAGTGTTCACTATTCAGCAACGTGTAATATTCTAAAACTGAAAAAGATGGATTTGAATTTATAAATGGGTATTTCTCTTTATAAATTTCCAGAAATTAAACTATGCATTATTTATAAATTTACCAAAAATAAACTAGGTCAGTAACATTTTATTCATTTATTTAAACGAATTTTGACTTCGTCATTATATATATATATATATATATATATATAATTTCCGTCCGTCAGAGCCCAGAGGGGTGCTATAAAATTCAACTTCGGCAAGAAAAATAATAAATTCAATTTCGACGACTCTCATCATCTTCGAAGAGTGTTCAAACACGAATGAAACCAATAATTGAAAACAAAGTTATGATCTTGACGAACAGAGAGAATCGAGATTAACATATCAATAGCAATTGTGTGAAATCTGATCATCCCTTTTTGACGATTTTTTTTTTTTAAAAAAAAACAGAGAGAGATTTCCGCTAAAAATCAATCAATAAAGCTCGACACTTGAGACCAGACCGACTAGTCTAAAATCGCGGCGGAGGCATAATCGCGCCTAAGCGGCCGATTAATCGTCTAGTGGGCGATTTTTCAAACACGGCTTGAGACAGAAAATGTCGAATCCGATGTTCGCGGAGAAATGGGAGAGCTCAAGTAAAAGCAGCAGAAGAGAGCTTAAAAGGAGAGAGAGGAAGATGTGCAAGAAACCCATCAGGATTTCTCGATTGCCCAGCTTCGGTTTCTCCGGTTCTGATTTCACAGTTGATCAGATTCCGGCCATCTTCTCCGGCTACAATGCCGAGTCTGATGATTCCTCTTCTTCCGATATGTCTGATGACTCCAGCACTCACTCTAAATCATCTGATGATAACATTAACGAGGAGATTGACCAGGCAAGTCTCACATCTCTTCTCTTTTTATTTTCTTTCTCTCTGTTCTAGTCGGAAACAATGGCTCATTAGATTTACCTAGAATCTGAGATCTGGATATTGGTGAATTCTGATCTCAGGAAAGTTCAAAGTCGGTGAGGAGACGAGCGAATTTGAGGAGTTTTTCTCGAATTTCAAGCATGAAGGTTCTTAGGAGACAGTCAACGAGGAAACTATCTTTAGGAGGAGGACATAGATTGAAGAAGATGAGATCTATCAAGCGTTTAACTTCAAATTCGAGACAAATGCTGAGGAAGAAGAATCTTGATTCAATTTCCAGGGACGATTTAAGGTTATTAGAGCCTCACTACCTGAGACCAACGAGCTCTTCTGCTTCCAAGAATGTTGAAAAGAATCTTGAAGTGGCTAGGTTAAAGAGAATATCAAGCTTGAGATACAATGGGTTGCTTAAGGCTACATGTTCTTCAGCTATGAAAGGTTCTTCTTCTTCTAAGAAGAGTAATGATGTTTGCAATTATAGGTATTGTTCTCTGCACGGTCGCCGCCATAACCACGCTGCGGATAACAGTTCGTCTTTGAAGCGGTTTGTGTCGATGAGGAGGAAGTTTCTGAAGAGGCAGAAGAGCGTGAACCGGCGTTTGGTGTTATTGAAGCGGACTTTGAGTAGAAAGAGAGGGCCTTTAGGCGGTGGGATTGTGACTGATCAAGAATCAAAGCAGGCGGATGATGATAATCCAGATGGAGAATCCAATCAAGATGTGTTTGAAGAAGAGGTTTCCAGCTCGGAGAATTGTGCAAATGATTCAGAATCGAACGGAAGATCTACTGAGACGGTGATGGTAGATGTTGATAATATTAATGGAATGGATCCAGTGGAAACTGGTGCATCATCTAGAGGAGAATGTGTTCAGGAGTCTAAACCAGAGATTGTGGATGATCCAGATGGAAGCATTGACAAAGACTTAGAGAAAAACGCCGCTCAATGGCAAGATATATGTGAGAATACTGTGACAGGTCTCGATCATGATGATGGAATGGTCGAGGAAACTAGGTGTGAAGAAACTGTGGGAGATAATGAGGAAGTTTGCAGAGAAGGTTCTTCTAGAGAAATGCGAGAAGAGGATGGAAAGAAAACCGAAAATGTATGGAATGATACAGAATCTAAACCGGAGATTATGGATGGTTCAGATGGAAAATTTGACAAAGATAATGGGAAGGTTGAGGTAATGAAAAGTGAAGAAATCATGGAATATATTGAGGAAGTTTGTAGAGAAGAGGGTGGAGAGAATACAGAAACTGTATGGAATGATACTGTTAAGCTTGTTAAGCAAGTGTTTGATGAGATACTTGCAGAAATCACAGATGATGACTCGTCAGATGATATTTCTATTACAAAGAATCATACTTTAGAGGGTGAATTGGCGAAAGACTATGATGTTGGGGAGGATTCGAGTGACTCAACTGCCTCGGATATGCAGCCTATTGAACGAAGGGACACACATTTGTCTGTAATTGTTTCTACTTCTCATATGGGAGAAGAATCTGATCATAAGAGAGGTGCCAAGAACTGGAGTTACTTGAAAAGGGTAATTCTTCTCAAGAGATTTCTCAAGTCGTTGGACCGAAGAGAGAGGCGTAAGTTGTCTGATGTTGAAGAGAGTGAAACAATAATGCGGTTGAGAAGAGAGTTGATTGGAGAGAGGAAGAATGTAGAAGAATGGATGCTTGATCATGCCCTTAGGCAAGTCATTTCAACACTTGCTCCATCGCAGAAAAGGAAAGTTAAACATCTTGTCAAAGCTTTTGAATCTTTGATTCCTATGAATGGTGGCTCTAGAGGTCATGATGATCTTGGAAGTCCCGGAAGAGAAGAGAACGAAGCAGTGAACTCGAAAACGATCTTGAGAGACACTGCTGATCAACTAGAAGTTTTACCAGAAATAGAAGAAACTAAGTCAACTAGCGAAGCGTCATCATCTCTGTCTATTGGTATAAAATCTGGTGAATCTTTGGAACCAATGGCAGATTCAAGTCACCATCTTGCTGTGGAGAAAGAATTAGATGGGTCAGTATTGGGGTCATCTATAGAAGAAGAAGAGAAGACAGGAGATTATGAAAAGAAAAATCTTTCTACATGGAGGAACCTGATACAGAAGCACATGATTAAGAGAGACAGCAACGAGACAAGGCGTGATGAAACTGAGCAAGAACACAAGTACGGAACTGATCAGATGACAGGTTTTGAAGAGGATAATGATCCTGCAGCTGTTAAATCGATTCAGCAAGCATTTGAAATGATTCTCTCGGAAATTCCTGACTCGTCGTCTGATGATGAAGAGGTTGTTTCGGAATCATCTAACTCTCTTAAAGAGGAGAAAGAAGCTCATGGAGAGACTAAAAGAAGCTGGAACAGCCTGAGAAAGATTATACTTTTGAAAAGATTTGTGAAAAGTTTGGAGAAAGTACGGGTTTTTAATCCGAGAAAGTTGCGGAATCTACCTGTTGAATCTGAATTGGGGGCAGAAAATGTATTACTAATACATCGATCAACAATGGAGCGAAGAAGAACAGATGGAGAGGAACTGATGCTGGATTATGCTCTGAGACAAGCTATATCAAGATTGGCACCTATACAGAGAAAGAAAGTAGAACTCCTAGTGCAGGCCTTTGATACAGTCCTTGATGGCCAGGAGACTCCTGAGCAATCCAAGAGCTTTGATATACCTCGTAACAAGGATGAAACGGCCGAAGAAGGAACACCGAGACTAGAGGAAGATAAAGATAAGCAGAGGATCAAAGATGTCTTTTCAAGATTTCAGGTACATCAAAAGGATTTGAAACAAGAAGAGAAGGTTGATACTCCCCGGAACAATGTTGAAACTAGCGAAGAAGGAACACTGGGAGTAGAGGAAGATAGTGAAATCAACAAAGATGAGCAGAGGATTGCAAATGTCTATTCAAGATTTCAGGTACATCAAAAGGACTTGAAAGGAGAAGAGGATGTTGATTCTACGCCGAGGAAATCCAGAAATTTACTTCCTCGTATCAGCAATTTTAAACAGCGAATCGTGGTTGAGAAAGAGAAAGATTCGAGAATGTGGAAGCTCATCTATAAACACATGGTAACAGAGAAAGAAGAAACTAATTCTGCAAATGGTGACTCAGTGGCTTCAGTTGAAGGTGAATGTGATGATGGTCTTCAGATTGATGCGAGAAGGAGCGGCACAGTTACACTTGTTCGAGAAGCGCTTGAGAAGATTCTCTCTGAAATTCCGGACAACTCATCGGATGATCAATCTATGGACAGCGATATAACTACGGATCAAGAAGTACTCGAAAGAAACTCTCAAGTCAGTGAAGAGCCGGTCACCTTCAAAGAAAAGTTTAATGAGAAGAGAGTGAAAGGATGGAATAATGTGAAGAAAGTCATTCTTCTAAAGCGGTTTGTGAGCGACTTAGGAAGCATGACAAGACTCAGCCCCAAGACTCCTCGGGTTTTGCCTTGGGAACCTGATCCAGGAACCGAGAAGATCCGTTTGAGGCATCAAGAAATAGGAGGGAAGAGGAATTCAGAGGAATGGATGCTTGACTATGCTCTGAGACAAGCCATATCGACATTAGCACCGTCTCAGAAACGAAAAGTCTCTCTTCTCGCACAAGCGTTTGACACTATAAGCTTACAAGATATTGGGAATTGTTCCACTCCAGGTTCAGCGACAGCATCCAGGAATATCTCTCGTCAATCCAGCATTTCTTCTATGACGGTCCAGAGTGAAAACGAAGCTAATGCTGAGATTATAAGAGGAAGATTGAAAAATCTACAAGAGGATCTCAAAGAGACTACAAAACTTGATCGTGTAGCCAATGATTTGGAGGAGAAACAACAGTGTTCTGGCTTGTGGCGGTTATTATGCAAACAGATGGAAGACAACGAGAGAAACCAAGCATTGCCTGAAGAAACACGAGAAGAGGAACACGAAGAAGAAGGAGAATTGAAGGAAGACGCAAATGTGGATGGTGAAAAGATGGAACTTTACCAAAGTGAAGCAGTGGAGCTATTAGGAGAAGTCATAGATGGAATCTCTCTTGAAGAGAGTCAAGATCAGAACCTCATCCAAGGAGAAGCAAGACAGAAAATCGAAACTTTACCGGTCTCGCAAGTGAGGATTAACCGATGGGGCAACCTCAAACGAGTGATTCTACTAAGGAGATTCGTCAAAGCGCTAGAGAATGTTAGGAAATTCAACCCGAGGGAGCCTCGGTTCTTGCCGTCGAACCCGGGAACTGAACCGGAAAAGGTGAATCTAAGGCATCAAGAAACTCAAAACAAGAGAAACGGGGAGGAATGGATGGTCGATAACGCGCTTCAAGACGTGGTTTCGAAGCTAACACCAGCTCGGAAACTTAAAGTTCAGTTATTGGTGCAAGCTTTCGAGACACTCTCGGCTACAGGGCACTGAGACAAACAAAATGTCTTAATACACAGTTTTCAAAATTCCGTAAGGTTAAAAAAGTCTTATAAAACTATTTTCTTTACTTTGTCTCTCCATTGTTTTATGACTTTCGACAGCTTTGCAGCTTCAGAAAACAAAGGACCGTGAAGAACATCATCTGCAAGACTAATCAACAAAACTGGAAAATAAGTGAAGACTTGCTGTTTTCTCTTGCAATGATATCATGATGTTTCTTCTTTTTTGTTCTTACAATGACCTATTATGTCTATTTTACCTGTAATGTGTGTAGAAAGGTATTTTGACTTGCAAAGTTTCTCAAAATTCTTAAAACTAAAACTTACCTGTTCAAATAGTCAAAAGCAGGGATGGGCAATCGAACCAAGGTTTATTAACCCGAATCAAACCAAATTTTAAATTAATGGACTAGAAATTTGTATACTAAATAACTTCAATTGAACCTTAATATTATGCACCCCAAGCCAATGTTAAATTGAATAAACCAATTTTTTTTTTTCAAATCTTATCTTTAGTTAGATATATACAAAGTATACACATTTAGTTATTTACATATACTCAAACCTGAACCGACCAAAAAAAAAAACTTGAACCGACCTAAAAATAAAAAAAAAGGAATGTCCGTCCAGGTTTTGTCAAAACTAAACATATACGGGAGGATTCGAACAATATGAATAGGATCCTCAATACCCTAGAGCTCACCTCAAAAATTATACAACTGAAATAGACAAATATCAGAAAATGTCCACATGTCTCCCTCTGCCTCCATTGCTGTTGCACGTGTTTTGTCATTTTCCACCGCCGTGAAACAAAACCACCTGAAACGCAAATGCAACGATGATGATGAAATCACTCAAGAAAAAGCTGTACTTATGGCTATGCATGAAGAAGAACACGACGAGGACGAGCACACTCTGTCTTGGGAGGCACTAAGCCTTCTTGGCCTTTACATGGAGCCCGAGACTCTCGCCATCGCCTCCTGCGTCTCAACCACGTGGCTAAAGTGTTTCTCGTCGGAGAATCTATGGAAGTCTCTCATAACCGCACGGTCTGCACAACCATCTTCTCCCTACGAGTTTGCCTTGGAAAACACGCCAGTCATCTCCTACAAACACCTCGTCTCCACCGTTGAATCGGACGTGAAACGCCGCCGCAAGAATCAACTGCCCGCTGAAATCAAGATCTTCCTGTCGGATCTCAGTTTCATTGTCCACGTGTCAACGGAAACAAAGAAAGCATCGGTTCTCAAAAAAGGGAAAGACCTCGAGTTTGGTCCAAACAACAAGTTCAAGATCGAAGTCGACGTGAGCAGTTCCGGGATCAGTGCCGGTGAGAAGAGCGTGAGGATGACATGGCAAGTCGTGTACAAAAACTGGGAGAAGTTCTTGACGATAACGGATGATACAACTACGAGATCCTTAGACAGAAACTACGGGTGGTTCACCGACAAACTCGAGGACAAAGATAACCGCAAGCTACTTGGCGACGTCAAGCCTAGTTTTAAAGGTGGTGTTTTTGACAAGATTGGATTTGCGATCGTTGACTCCGACGGCTATGGAAATCTGTTAGTTGATGGTTTTTTGAGATATCTTCAGCGGTTTTTCTTGGAATAATCTCCATTGATCGATCGGTTTAAGAAACAAGTACTACTCTCTTTGCAAGTAACCTAGAAAGTTTTTTTTTCTTTTCTGGTTGTAACCTAGAAGTTGTTTAATGGTATTCCCTCCTTTTCTATGTACTGTAATTAAATTCAATAAACTATTTTTACCAAAAGAAAAAAAAATTCAATAAACCTATGAATTGCCTTCATGAAACAGAGGAGTAGCATTAAGCTCGATTTATTTCTTGTAAATAATTAGGGTTTAGTTTTTAAATGCAACGACGACGGTTGTATTCATTAAGCTCGATTTATTATATACTTCCTACTTTTATTATATACCTCGAATATTGTTGTAACTGCTCGTTTTGGGCATCTTATAATAAAATTAATAGACGACAAAAAAAAAAAAAATACTTCCTACTAATTTCTAGCATGTTGGATTTTGAATTAATTTGATAAGAAGATTATCCGTTTTGAGTTTCGGAAAGTTGAGACTACGTCATCAAGACTAAACGCTCGTACAGAGGACACGTGTAATGTAACTGCTACGGAGACGCCACATCACGCAGAGTGTCTTCTTCATTAAAAAAAATTAACTTTACCAAAAAATACAGAAGAAGAAAAAAACAGAAACAAAATAACCTATTGTTCCTCTTCTCTATTGTCTCGAAGGGCAAGTGATCTTTACACTCTCGATTCATACCCAGCTTGATTTATGTTTATCTTTACAAATTCTGTTGATTCAATCGCGATTTACTTAGATTAGGGTTTCTTAGTAGATTCTTCCTGATTTTGACGGTGGTCTGTATTGTATATAGCTTCCTTATTCTAAACTCGTACTTGATTTTTCGTGACAGTTCCCAGAGTTTCGGAGAGTCAAATCACATGGATCAAATTGAGTCACATGTCTCTAATGGTAAAACTCCACATTTCAATTACTTCTTTTAATCCATTGCCCTGCGTATGAAGTGTTTGTTGTAAATAATGTAATGCCTAGCTGGAGGAATAAAGACTTGTTGCGATTTCTGATGACACATAAAATCTTTTTCTTACATGTTAGTATCTCATCAGCTCTCTTGATTTAAGATAACATGACATTGCATTGTATGTACATTAAACTCTGTCTTAGGCTAGTCAATATAGATTACTCTGGATTGTACATTTACACAGCATAGATTTGTTTGAGATAATTGAAAAGTTACTAGTTCATGACTAGTCAATTCCGGTTATGATCAGATATTTAGAGGTAGAAAGCAGACAAGAGAGACTCTCTAATCATTCGGAAGATTCCGTGCAGGTAAAGTAAAAGAGCCGAGGGTAATATCTCCGGGAGGATCCAAGACTGAAGAGAGGCAAAGTGAAGGTGTTACTCATCAGATTGACATGAGTAAAGACGGTAGAGAGCAGCCTCATGGCGAAGTGAACATGGAAGCTTCCATTTCAGCAGAAGATGTGATACGAGCTGGAGGGTTTGGTGCTAAGGACGACATTGGAAGCTTCCTTCCCGTGGCAAGTGATTCGACTGACTTTGAGGAATCAATCCGCTCTGCACGCGACTACGAAGAACCGCAACCGAAGGTTCAAAGACCTGGTCTTGGCTGGCCTAAAGAGTGAAATCTTTGCCTCCACGGCTACAATGCTTGCTTTAATAGTTTTTGTTCTTCGTCAATGTGTGATCAATTGTTGTGTATGAATTATGATGATGGCAAAGCGGAATTATTTCAAGGTAGAGAACTCTCTGGTGTTAGTTGCTATATATTAGAAAGGCTTTATCTTGTCAAGAATTAAAAGCAATATTCTCTATAAGTTTAGAAATTTACCATCGGGGTCTTCTGAAAATTAAGGGCAAGATGTACAACCACACTAATGACTATTGTCATTATCATATTAATATCGTATATTTGGAAACTGCCGATTTTTTTTTCTTTCCGAGAACAAAATGGATATAACTGGGACGAATTATGGAAACTACCATAGTACCATTTATATATCAATAACAATTTTACATACTACAATTATCATAATGTGACAAATGACAATTACGTTGAGACCATTAGCCGGTGATATAAGTGGGACGGATTAAAACCAACGAGAGAAAGAAAGTGGAATTATCATTCAATAAGTGGCTCAAGTTGAAGACAATCCACAATTGCTTTTTTTTAGCTCATATATCAATCGAATGTCTTGTTTCTAACTTTTCTAAATAAATCTTGCATTTCCTTTTTTCATATAAATATAAAAAAATTATAATTTCATTCAAAGTGGTTAATCATAGCCTTAGCACTCAGCTACTTGGATATTATTTGATGGCCCTTTTATTGGCGATCACTATACAATATTAATTTTTTCGTCGCATTTGATTTACTAATTTGGGAATTTTCTTGTTTTTGATTTTAATGTTAGTTGGCAGAGTATGTAAATAAGTTGGTGAAAAAGGAGGGTTAGAGAGTATCTACGTTCACTTATTGATCAATTATTATAGATAGCCAATTAATTAAAGGATTTTACCACCCAAATTTAAATCATGAAGATAATATATATATGCTTAAAGCATGAAAGATCATAAAGATATATAACTAAAACACACTAAGCTATAAGGGTATTGGTTAACTTCAAAATAAGATAAAATATTTTTAATTACCCAATACATAATTAAAATTTTGAGCACTTACAAAATGAACTATTTGAGTATTATAATGGTTAAAGAAATAAAGTATTTCAATATGCTGAGATATCACTTTCTAAATATCCATTAACGGAATAGCTTCATGAATAATTCAAGACAAAAAATACCATTGATGCATGCACTAGTCACTAGTCATCATCTGTTATTATTTGTGATGTGTTGTTATTCAGAAAACTTGTGGCAGTCTCTTTTAACCTACAAAAGTTTAAGAAGCTTACAAGAATTTTTGAAAACCTACAACTGGTTCTCAAAAGTTTTCGTTTCATTTTTTTACGATATGTGTAATTTGAACGTTACTGCAACTTTTTTAAAAGGAAGCGTGATGGACAACACATTTATATATTTATGTGATAAACGATTAATTGTAAGCAAACTCTACACAAATTAGTGATAATTTTACAAATTTTGGATTATTATTCTGTTAATAAATTATAGAAAACTGCTATTTAATAAACTAAGAGAGACCGAGGAATTTCCATTAATATAAGAAGCGATTTCCCTTGAGTAAATAACATGTTTTATACCTACCAATTGGTTAACAAAAAAAATACTTTTTAATACACTACTGTCTCTTCAGGCTGCGAATATCGAATATGTACCCCTATTTATTTATATATATATATATATATATCTCCACATCATAGACTTACACTCTCTAATCTCAGAAAACAAAAATAAATGGTTTTCTATATGGGGAAAGAGAGAAACAAAGAAAAAATATATTGTCTTTTTAGTTATCTTCTTCGCTCTAATGGTGGGCAACATCTTCACATAATTCACCTAAGTATGTTCTTCATGTTTCACATACATAAACATACGTGCGTATCTAGGTATATGTTTCCAAAAGTCCTTCTATTTTTACTCTTTATTTGTGTTTTACAGAGTGATTTTTTCGTGGATCCGTCATATTGTGTTTAAGTTCACAAATTATTATGGTTAATCCATAAATTAACCTTATTTTTTATTTTTTTGATCTCTCTCTCTCTCTAAAAGGAGGCAGATTTTGGATTAAGATTCTTAGTAGAGAAAAGTTTTTGATCTGATTGTGTTTCAGGACACTTGCCTCAAGATAACCTGAAATGTATCTCCAGGAGCCTCTTTCTGTCGGCGAAGTTAGATGACGAACAATGAAATTGTCGAACCATAGAATTTGAAAGAAATTCATACATTTTCCCGACCATCACTCTCCAAGCGTTTATGTATGTATGTCAATTACACCAATTATTGATAAGTTGTAAATTTTCATTTTCATATTTGAAATATCCAAAAAACTTTTATATACTTATATATCTGCATCATTTAAGGTGACAGAGGATCCTCAGAAACGTTTAGAGGAAAACAAAAAACTTTGAGACATCAATCTGCTCACACACACACTAGCACACTAACACTAACACTAACACTATATAGTTAGCCCAAAAATTACTGCTCTTTCCTCCCAAAAAAATATTTAGCAACAGAGACTCTCTGTCTGGTTCAGAAGGATTCAGTCCAACCCCAACCATTCGAATGTTTCTGAAACCCACCTCTGCTTCTCCCTCTCCCATTCCTCCATCCACAATCCTTCACTTGAACTCCACCACGTGGCAAGTCTCCTCTCTTTCTCCACTCTCTGTTCTCTCTTCCTTGATCCTTACAGTTCCAACTCTCACTGTTCTTGCGGTTAAAGCTGTTGTTGCTCTTGCTGTTCTTATGATCCCAAGATTCGGTTTTAAAGCTGTTGTTCTTATGAGACCAAGATCCGGTTCTCTCTTTTATCTCCCAAGAATCCTCAACCCATCCATTACAATTCTGATCACCCCATGAGTTCTCTGGTTTACCAGTATTAACATTCTCCTCGTTAATCCCTTCAGCGTCTCCCCATCCAGTTCCCCAACCGAGTCCGCTATACTGTTCAGATAAGAACAAAGCATCAAGAATCACGACATGCTCTTCTTCTTCTCCTGCTATCGGGTTTGGACCACGTTCAAGGTCAAGAATCAGCTCGGCGTCAACCTCGGATTCCCAATCAACATCATCAATGTAGACATCAGGATCAGGCAAAGATAAGTCACAAGGAGCTCCATTTATCTCTGCCCAGTACCGGGATTTAGCGTTCTTGAACGCCTCTTCGCCCGCTGAGTCGTCCCATTGTGCCACTCCATCGTAAAGATGCATAAACCGCTTCGCCTCTAAGACTCTCCGCCATGGAACTGAACCAACCACAGCACAGAATTCCTTCTCCCAAGCCGGAACAGACAGTTTGTAGTTAGCTGCAGAAACATAATAATCTGAGAGAGTTAGAAACTCTGTTTGTCAGGCCAAAATCCAAGTACAGAAAAACTTACAGGTCAAGAAAAAGGTACAAACAATGATCTTGTCTAGGATCCGAGGATTAAGAACCAAATCAATTTGACTGATTTTTGTCTCTAACCACGTTAATTCAGAGTTTGATCCACTGTGCATGCATATGTATGTTGTTCACATTCATGAATTAGGACTTAGAAATTAAGATTAAGACAAAAAAAACCTCACAAACTTAACAAAGATGAAATCAATTAGTATAATGAATTCTCTAATTTCACTAGCTTAAGTACAAGAAGAGCTTAGAAACCGACATTGAAGTACAAACACAAACCCTAATCAGAAATCCGAGGAACACCAGTTTCGTTGATGAGAAAAAACACACTAAGCAAGTCGATTTCGGAGAGAAACTCAAGGGTACGAAATCGAAGAACTCAATCCGAGAAATTAAAGATGACGGTAAAAAAACAGAGAGAGAAAACAGAACAGAACATACCAAGAGGCGGCTTTGATGATTGCGTCATCGTCGTGTCTCGTTGATGATGATGATTATAATTGTTGTTATTTCTGGGTTTTTGTCTTCTCCAATTACTCATTATGAGCCCGACAAAGATTGAATTTTGAAACAATAAACCCAGAAGAGGACAACGAGAACCCTTCTAAATCAGGACGAGATTCTGAATAAAAGCCCTAAATTTCGACGACGAGAAAGGAGAGAGAGAGAAAAATTCGGAGAATTTCAGAGAGAGAGTCCGAGAAAAGGTGTGTGTGTTTCTTCTGAGCTCTCGGCAGCGAAACAGAGATTTTATAACAAGGGTCAATGATTCCAACCCGATTAGTACATCAAGAACAAACGGTGGCTCCTCGATAAATTTCCTTTTTCTTCCTTATTTTGAATTTTCAGGTGTTTTTAAAAAAAAATGTTATTTCCTTTTCGTTGCGAGGAAAAAAAAAGTTTCCTTTTCTGAAACTAATTTTGGATGCGTTGCCTCGTTTTGCTTGATTCTAGTTGCTTCTAATAATAAATTCTTACTTATATTATAACGAATGGAATATTACTTATTAATTATTTGACGGCAAAAAAAACGTATTAATTATTTATTAAATTGCGCGATCTCTCTCCCCTGCATTAATTAATTTCAGTTTAACATGAGAAAATTGAATCGGTCAAATCTTCTCATGTTAATTAACTCTCATTAGTCAGAAAAGGAAAACGAGATAAAACATAATAAAAAGTTGTATTTTAAAAGATTTTTTAAATCTCATTCGATCATTTGTTGTTTTGTTTCATACAATGAATTCTATCTGCTTTTCTATATTTGAAAAAAAAATACCGACTATAAGATTAGGAAAAGGAAAACTGACTAGACCCAACAAAAGAAAAAGGAAACTCTATCATATATTCCAAAAAGGAAACACAAACCTATACCTCTCTCGATCGGTAGTGTATAAATACAAGACACACAAACACCAAAACTCTCATCCTTTTGTCAAACAATGTCGACAACTACCAAAGCCTTATCGCTTCTTCTTGTTCTTGTTCTTCTACTCTTCGTGTCCCTTGCTCACGCCACGACGGATCCATGTCCCATCAACTCCATCTACCAATTCGGAGACTCCATAGCCGACACCGGAAACCTAATCCGCAACGGTCCCGTCGGAGCCAGATCCCACGCCGCCAGTTTCCCATACGGTCAAACATACTTCCACCGAGCCACGGGTCGTTGCTCCAACGGTCAGCCCATGATCGATTACTTGGCACGCAGGCTTCGTCTCCCACTCCTAAACCCTTACCTCCTCAAGGGCAACACAAACCCTTCTTCTTTCAAGAACGGCGTTAACTTCGCCGTCGCCGGAAGCACAGCACTCAACAGCTCCTTCTTCGCCGCGAGGAACCTCCACGTTCCGGCAACAAACACCCCTCTCTCCACTCAGCTCGCTTGGTTCAAGTCTCATCTACGTTCCACGTGTCACGGCTCTTCTTCTTCGGATTGCTTGAAGCAATCTCTTTTCATGGTCGGTGAGATCGGAGGCAACGACTACAACTACGGTTTCTTCCAAGGAAAATCCATGGAAGAAATCAGAAGCTACATCCCTCACGTGGTTGGAGCCATCGCAGCCGCGGCTAGAGACGTGATCCGAGCCGGTGCGGTTAACGTGGTCATCCCGGGAAACTTTCCGGTTGGATGTTTTCCGATTTACTTGACGTCTTTTCCCGTGAAGGATCCAAAAGCATACGACGACAAAGGTTGCTTGAAGCATCTCAACGAGTTCGCAATGGATCACAACAACCAACTCCAAGAGGCTATAGCTTCTTTAAAGAAAGAGTTTCCGGATGTGGTTATAGTCTACGGAGATTACTACAAGGCGTTTCAGTCCGTTCTACGAAGCAGCAAATCTGCGGGATTCGACAAGAGTGTAGCCTTGAAATCTTGCTGTGGGATCGGAGGAGCTTACAACTACGACGGAAAGAGACAGTGCGGAGCAGCGGGAGTGCCGGTGTGTCAGAATCCGGACAAGTTCATAAGTTGGGACGGAGTGCACTTGACACAGAAGGCTTATCGATTCATGTCTAAGTTCTTGAACAACATCATTCTTTCACAGATCAAGTGTCTTAGCTAGAGCTTAACGAAGGAAGAGTGTCTTTTCTAGGCTCTTTCTAGTTTTGATAATTTGTATTCTTACAATTATGTAATATTACTTGATTCTTTTGAGTAAATCAACTAATAAAGTTTTCAAAGTATAACTCTTTTGAATTACAAAGAAAAATAAAACCTCTGTTTCAGTGCTGATATTTGCTCTGTGTTTTATTGACTCTATTATTTGCCCTACGTCGGTCTTGTTTTGCCTATTTTTTGTTTTTATAATTACTAAGTACAGTATACAAATTAATGTTACTGCAAATAAAACAAAGCTAACCTAAACCCAACCAGATTTTGTAGCTCAATTATGTTTTAGCATGATTTGCTCCAAATTAAGCTAGCCCGAAACGGAACATAAAATCAATTTCTACTAAAAAAATATAGACAAAAAAGAAGAAGAGAATTCGGGATTTGTCATCAAACCGAACTAATTGAACCCAAACCCAATCTACGACGTATTTAATTCCTGTCTGAAGCCGAATAAATCCGGTTTAGAGAACGGGTCTGAGTCCCAATCCGGATCCGGGTCGCTTTATACTTGATGTCTGCACGAGTCGCGAGGAAATATTGCATCTTCCTTTGTTGTTCATCGTTCGTCTTCGTAAGGTGTCTCTCTCGTTCTCTCTCACTATTACGTCATGTACATTCCGATTTTTCCATAATTTTTTTTTAAAAGGCGAAGTCTTTATTTCTATGTAATCGTCGAAGCTTGCTTCCGACTCCTTTTTTGATCTTCAAATGTAATTTTGGGCTTAGGGTTTCCGAAAATTTCCGCCTAGTTCTCTCTGCCTTTTGTTCATGTACACCGTGGGTTAACCCAAATTGCGATTCTTTTGCAAAATTTCGTGCGGATTATTAGCATCTCTTTCTAGATTTGCATATTATTGAGTTCTTAGTGGGTTAGTAAAGATTATTTTCATAGAAATATTGTAGCTTGTAGAGACCCACAAGTTTTTTTGAGCTTGTTTTCTCTGGAGCTCTTGAAATTGATTTGAGTTTCTCTGCACCTTATGAATCGTGGATGTTTCTTTTGATCTGTGTTTTTGTTTGGGTTCGTTGGTTTTCTCTTACTGATGATCGAAGAAACAGTTTTCTGCGATGTCTGTTTCTGGTAGGGCAAAGACCAATCTTGGAATGATGTCGAGTGTTCATGAGGTTCTAAACAGCGATGATGCTATGTGTGAGATTCTTCTTCTGTTACCACCTGAAACTACCTATAAGCTGATTCTGGTGTCAAAGAGGTGGCTTCAGATTATATCCAGCCCTTTCTTTCGTCACACTTACCTTACCAAATGGAAGCCGACCTTTCATCTAATCGGCTTCTTCGTCTGCAACACAATGTACCTTGGTAAAAAGATTGAAGGAGTTCGTCGTCCTCGCTCTGAATCCTCTCTACCTTTGCTCTCAACGAGCACTTTAGGTGATGAAATCGAATCCTCTGGTATTCTGCAGAAGCTTGGATATTACATCGATTCATCTAACGGCGTCCTTCTCTGTGGCCGCCATCCAAAAGCTTATTACTTGTGGGATCCCAAAACACGGAAGCATCATCAGATTCCACGCCCCAGAGTCCATTTCGATGAGCTTTGTATGTCCTTGATCACTGAGGATTGTCCTCTTAAAGGTTTTAGCTACAAGGTGATTCGCGCTGAGTGTGTTTCCTATTCGGTTCAGAGTACAAAGGTGAGGGTAGAGACTTACTCCTCTATAAACACCACATGGAGTTACTCTGAGCTTACTTGCCCTGAGCCCATATCTCTCAGTCCGTGGAATCCTGGGAGAGTAATCCAAGGTGTGGTTTATTGGCATGTCACTGGAGGTAAAGTTGCCATCTATGACTCAAACGATGAGGAGAAGCGGATCAATGTGATGAAGCTCCCGAAAACTTACGACTATGATGAACACGTTCTGGGCGAATCTGCTGATGGGTTTCTGCAATATGGATGGAGCAATAAGTCTGTAATGGAGATATGGAAGCTGGAAAAGGTAAGCAATGTGCTTCAGTGGACCATTCAGTTTAAGATGAGTTTCAAGGTGATGTGGAGGATGAACCCGGTGGAATCTAAAAGATTCAACACTCGGACTAAAGAAACGCAGCTGCTCGCGTTCCTCAATCAGAAATCAGACTCGGTTTTCATTAGATGTGACTCACAGATCTTCTTATGTGATACACAGACTCTAAAGGTTGAAGAAGTTCAGTACCAAGGACGAAAATCTTCATTTGTTTGGGATTTCTGCAAAGTCGTGCCTTACTTTCAACTATCTTGGCCTTCTTCTCCACTGCTAGAAGAAAAAAACATCTGAAGATCGATACTCCTCACTGTCATGTCGCTTTTCTGCAGTAAGTAAAGTAGTTTATGGTAATCAGTTTCTGTGTAGGCCTCTAATAACATTTTGTTCGTATGGCCATTGAATTATGGTTTGTTTTGTTTAGCGGTTTAAGGTTTTTGGTTTGACCATTGATGAACCTCTTCATGGCCTTTGAACTACGGTTTAGCCATTAAGGATTGTGCCTTCTGTAATGACCAAGTTTTTGCGTTTTCGTTTTGAATTCGCGTTTCGTTATTTAACTCAGTTTGTAGAGGTAGTGGTTGATGATTATATACACATAAAGCAGAGTTTTAATCCAACAAATTCTAAATCAATTTATTTAGACAGATAGTCGATATCACTAGTGTAGTGCTCTTAAGCTCCTGACCGATCCAAATAATTTCAATTTCTGTAATCCATTAGAGATGATATCATAAGTTTGATTAATTGGTCAGTCTCACAGGGTGATGAACTGGTTGTGGAGAATGTCCATAGTCTTCTTTAAAAAATAAATTAGAAAGAGAATGTCCACATTCTTTGAAATGTAATGACGAATCTGTGCTTTTTAATTTTAGAAGAACGAACATATTATTTATAAATGGCATGTAGTGATCTAAGAAACAGATCATGTAATCTTAGGTACAGATAATCCTTTATAGTCTCATTATTGGTAGTGAGTTTTCATTTTATTTTATTTTGCTTGCAACCTTTTCATCCTTTAATTTGGAAAAGAAATCAGCTTAGCTTTGATATAAAAAAAATATTATGTTGAGATTCTTAAAGATATTTATAAAGATGATTGATTTGTATAATATATAACTTCATGAGAATATATACATTTTCAAACTTTATGATCATTTTCAAATTAAGTTAGATACACTATGAATTAACCAATATTTTGAGAAAGTTTATATGATGATGTCTTCCCCTGATATGCCATATGATAATTTAATTTAACCGATTGATGATAACAAAGTAAAATCGTAAATTTATGGAGGAAAATAAATAGAAATGGATTTGATTTTGCTTTTTAAAAATGTAAAAAGAGTGGTGGGACTATATAACAACTCAAAAGGATCCTTTACTTTGTTGAGGAACTCAAATGCATTATTTATTTAAAAGCTAAATGAAACCTATAGCTCGTTCTATGTTCATATCATATATGACTCACATCACATGGCACATCATTGTTCCAATGACATGATAACTAAAGTTGTAATGATCTACTCAACAACGAATTTTAGTCTATATGGACCACCATCAGCTAAATTTCATTGTTTTTTTTCCCTCCGATACCTAGATTTGTGATAAATTGAACTAATTATTTGTGGAATTTTGTAAATTATTATATATTCATACAAGTTTTGAGTTTTGACAATTTTGTATTTTTGCTTTACAGCAAAAACATTATTAGAGATGATAAAAGATAAACATTACTTGAGATATAACATTACAAAAACAGAAATTGAAAGAATATGGTTTTGTTAATGAAACTGTTTTATAATTTTAGCATTCTCAACAATTACCCCCAACTAAAAGAAAATAAAACCCTACGTAGTTCTTGATTTGAAAACCTTCTATACAATGATTAAACTGTACTATCACTCATTGTTATCATTATTTTCCTTTTTCTTCAGGCAATAATATTTCACGAGTCTATTATACATATGTTTCATCAGAACAAGTTACATTAAAATATGATATGATCTACTTTCACTTCTTTACATAATTTCTTAAATTTTTGTTAAGCATAGATACGTTGACAAGCCACATGTTCCTTTGATCACAAGCCAAAAGTGGCAAGAAAAAAAAAGAAAATAATTTTCGAAAATTGATAACTCATAAATCAAAGTTTTTAACAAATGATAAAAATTAAGGTGGGTCAATTGTAAGTGATTGGTTAAGAAACAATTTAAAAAGGAGAGTTAAAAGGGGTTTGAACAAGTCGGTAATCATAGATAGTGAAAGTGACAGTTGGAAAAAAAGAGAGAGAGGATCCTATATTTAGACATCACTTGAACTCATCTCTTCACAAGTTGCCTGAATCTCCACATCATCATTACATCTCTATCTTCCAAAATATCTGATTCACATTTGATCCACCAGATCAAATTGGTTTGTGTTCACAGGTAAAGGAAGATTCTCTGTCTTTTGAGTTCCTCTGCCGTATCTATTAGAGAATGTGTTGCTCTAGTGATGTGAAACATAATATGAAGCTGTTCTAATTTTATGAGTCTAATGATGTTGAAACATAAAATGAAAATGTAGTTTTTTAGTGGATACTCATTATGATACTCTTGATGATCTTCTAATGGGGCTTCTCTTAGATTTTGTTTGTTCGGTCTTCTTGATCAACTCAATAAAGAGGCGTTATCATATATTACCAGGGAACTCCGTTTAATGGCAAAGAGGAGGTCGTGGTTCGGTTGGATAAAACGACTGTTCATCTGCGAGGCAAAAGCCAAAACAGAGAAGGTTTAGTTTGTTTTCTCTTGTTACCATGAATTGTCCATGTTTCTGAATCTAATCTGACTCGTTGTTGTAGAAGCCAAGAAGATTGAGATGGGTGTTTAGAAGACTGAAGCTGAGACATCAGATTGGAACTACGGTGCAAGAGACAAGGACTTTGAACGAAGCAACAGAGGATCAGAGAAAACATGCCGTGAACGTAGCCATTGCCACGGCAGCAGCAGCTGAGGCGGCGGTTGCAGCCGCCAAGGCAGCTGCTGAGGTTGTCCGAATGGCGGGAAACACCTTCACGTCACAACATTTTGTCAAGAAGCGCGATCCTAGTTTTGCTGCTATCAAGATTCAGAGTGCCTTCAGGGCTTATCTGGTCAGACACTATACTTTGAGAATCTTAGTATCTGTTCCTCTTGCAGTGTTTGATCTTGTGATTGTTCACAAACAGGCGAGGAAAGCATTACGGGCCCTGAAGGCACTTGTAAGGCTTCAAGCAATTGTCCGTGGCCGAGCTGCTAGGCGTAAGGTTTCTGCTTTGTTGAAGTCTTCAACGTCGAGCCTCATCCAGAGAAGCACAGAGAGAAAACACTGGTCCAAGACCAAATCTGAGATCAAAGAAGAGCTCAAGGCAACGAAACATTCCATGTGTAACTCGAAGGTAGAGTGCAATGGTTGGGACAGTAGCGCTCTCACCAAGGAAGACATCAAAGCCATATGGTTGAGGAAGCAAGAAGGTGTGGTCAAGCGTGAGCGTATGTTGAAATACTCCCGCTCTCATCGGGTAAACTCCTAGTTTTGAAATACTCCTAGTATGTTGAATGATCTCCTAGTATGTTGAAATATTCCTAGTTTTGCAGGAGAGAAGAAGTCCTCACATGCTTCTGGAGTCTTTGTACACAAAGGATATGGGGATGCGAAGCTGTCGGCTGGAACATTTGGGTGAATCCAAGTTTGAAAAGCCCACAAACTCAAGCGAAATGACAAAAGTAAAGCTTAGAACTTTGCAGAGACAAGGCTCTGGTGATGGTCAAGATTCTCCATTTTCATTTCCGAGGAGATCATTCAGCCTTCTTGAGCAGAGTTTGTTGGAGGACGAGAGCTGGTTTCAAAGCTCCAATGGCTTCCAGCCTTACATGAGTGTGACAAAGTCTGCAAAAGAAAGGTTTAGATCACTGAGCACACCGAGGCAACGAGTAGGGCTCATGGATTCTTGGTTTGATAACAATAACAAGGATGGGGATAAAGTGTCTCTCTGGTCTTCCTTTGTCAGTGAGACTAGTAAGATGAACAACTCTAAGATGTCGTCTCTGACCACAAATCAACATTGTTGTTAAATAGTGAACATTCATGTCACTTTCCAAGAGTGGGTGTTTCTTTCTTTTCTATTTATGGGTCTCATATCTCATGTTCTTTATAGAGATAATACTTCTGCAAAGGGCTATTTTTTTTTTTTTTTGGTTGGGGTTTTGGTGTTTTGGTTCTGTACATTTCTGTTCTTGTGGAATTGGAAGCATCTTTTGTCAATGTGATTCTTTTTGTTCAAATCACGAAAAATTGTTATTTTCACTGCACTTTCAAGATTCAATAGCCTGTAGATATTTCTTTAGGCATATGTAGCTGAGGATATCAAAACAAGGAAACTGACCTAAGAAGTGGCAACCAAACCTCATATCAATGATTAAGAACACTGCCTGTGATAATCATCTTGGCTTTAGTTGTTTCTATGATCATCCTCTTTAGTTTAGTGAAAATCCAACAAATTCTTTCTCAGAGAAGATTAGTTAATCAAATCCAGTAAATACGGTGCCGTTTTTCAAGAGAGCACATCGACGGCTTTTATTCGGCCACGTCATTGAAAGAGATAAACTGGAACCATCCAAATTTTGTTTGGTTTCTTTGAAACAAGATAAAATTTAAGATTGCGGACAAGTTTTTGTTGAGCTTCGCTTCGATCACACTACTTATGGAGGCTCTTCAATTTTCCAGTCGTTTCTCTGTGAATAGAGTTCCTTGTACTCAGAGTTTTACCGGAAACCGGAGAAGTAGCGCTACATTTCGCTCTGCATTCACCGGAACCAGCAATTCAGCTTCCTTCTCATCTAAGAATTCCTCCACGGTTTGGCCTCAAATTTGTTTGTTTTTTAAGAAAAATTCTACCAGTTTTTGGTAATTTAGTGTTGTTGTTTGTGTTGAGTTAGAAGGAAATATGGAGTTGGGTGAAATCGAAGACAGTTGGCCATGGAAGATACAGAAGGAGCCAAGTGAGGGCGGAGATGTTTGGTCAATTGAGCAGTGGACTCGAGGCTGCCTGGACCAAACTCAAAGGGGAAGGTTCGATTTTTTCTGTTTTATGTATTTTGCTCAAGGAATCTCTTTTAAATGTCAAAGCTCTTAGCTCTTGGTAGTTTGGCTCGGACCCAGAAAGCAGAAACTTAAATCTTGACTGAAAAAATGAGAAGATAGGCAGTTTGTTAATGTATGTGAAGAAAAATTCTGTTATAAATCTGTTGGAACGAGAAGTGTATTAGAGAGATTTAGTTATCTTGATTTTGCATCAAGTGATCAGTTTAGTTAAAGGGCAGTGTAATCTTTGCCACTAGTAGATGTAGAAAGGATGAGCACGTTTTGAAGCTAGTTACGGTTATTTGAATTTGCAGAGGTCTTGACGAAGGAGAATATTGCTGAGCCAATGAGGGATATCAGAAGGGCTCTCCTGGAAGCAGATGTGAGTGGTGTTTCTTCTGTTTTGTCAGCCTTCTCTGCAAGTATTTAACTCGCTGGGTGGTTTTGTTAACAGGTGAGCCTCCCAGTTGTTAGAAGGTTTGTTCAGACTGTTAGTGACCAAGCCGTTGGAATGGGTGTCATTCGAGGAGTTAAACCAGATCAGCAGTTAGTCAAGGTAATTAACAATGAACCGGTTCTTAAGCTTGTGTTCTCTTTTTGTTTTTCAATAGCACTTAAGCTTGGCCTTCACGGATTTATTGCAGATAGTACATGATGAGCTAGTTAAATTGATGGGTGGAGAAGTATCTGAGCTACAGTTTTCTAAGTCAGGTCCTACCGTTATATTGTTGGCTGGGCTCCAAGGAGTGGGGAAGACAACGGTTTGCGCTAAACTCGCTTGTTACCTAAAAAAGCAGGTATGCTTTTTGAAAATACAATGGAGATTTTGATGCGATTGTTACCCTCTGTCAATATTACACTGACATTTGTGATAATTGATAACTTTTCACAGGGGAAATCTTGCATGCTTATTGCTGGAGATGTGTACCGACCTGCTGCCATCGATCAACTTGTCATTTTAGGGGAACAGGTATTAAAATTTGGACTTTTTGAATCGTTGCGCAGAACCGGCTAAAGAAACCTGTGTATAAACAAACATGTGATGATACTTTAAGCCGTATACAAACATTTTCTGATGCTTTCTTTGTGTCAGGTTAGTGTGCCGGTTTACACAGCAGGGACTGATGTAAAACCTGCAGATATAGCCAAGCAAGGTCTAAAAGAAGCTAAAAAGAATAATATCGATGTGGTTATCATGGATACCGCAGGGAGGCTTCAGGTAATCTTTCGTGTTGCAGAGTCATTGTATCAGAAATCTGTTGCATCTTTTAGTGATGAGATTGCTTCTTTGTGACAGATAGATAAAGGGATGATGGATGAATTAAAAGACGTGAAGAAAGTTCTGAATCCCACAGAAGTGTTGCTCGTTGTCGATGCCATGACTGGACAAGAAGCTGCAGGTACTCAGCAGCTCCTATTCTACATTGGAAAATTCAAAACATCCTGAAAATAGATTAGATTCTAAACCGAGTTTTAACCTCTTTGGTCTTTTTTCTACAGCACTGGTGACAACATTCAATGTAGAGATAGGAATCACAGGAGCCATTCTGACGAAGCTAGACGGTGATTCAAGAGGTGGTGCTGCTTTGAGTGTTAAGGAGGTTTGTTCTTCTTCTTCTTCTTCTTCGATCTTCTGTTGACGTGAACATCATTGGAATAATGGTTTACTCTTGAATGGGTGTCACTAGGTATCTGGAAAACCGATAAAACTGGTAGGACGTGGAGAGCGAATGGAGGATCTTGAACCATTTTATCCCAATCGAATGGCTGGACGAATTCTAGGAATGGGAGATGTGCTTTCATTTGTAGAGAAGGCACAAGAAGTTGTAAGTTGTCAGTAAACTTAACAATCCCTGGCTTTGGTGACCAGACCAATTATCAAAACTATCTCTCATAAAAGAAAGCCTTTTTCATCTGTCTTGTAGATGCGTCAAGAAGATGCTGAAGATCTCCAGAAGAAGATAATGAGTGCAAAGTTTGACTTCAACGATTTCCTAAAGCAAACTCGAGCTGTTGCGAAAATGGGTTCGATGACACGTGTTCTTGGAATGATTCCGGGAATGGGGAAAGTGAGCCCAGCACAAATCCGAGAAGCAGAAAAGAGTCTTATAATCATGGAAGCAATGATCGAAGCAATGACACCTGGTTTTTTTCCTCTCCATATCCGTTAAAACAAAACTAGAATTGATTTTGGCTGTCTTAATTTTTTTTTACTTGTGTTGGGCAGAGGAAAGGGAGAAACCAGAGTTACTAGCAGAATCTCCTGAGAGAAGAAAAAGAATTGCTAAAGATTCAGGAAAAACAGAACAGCAGGTACCCACTCAGATACTAAGCTAGTTTCAGATCTCTCAGCCAAAATAAACTCAATACCGTTCGGTTATTCAGGTGAGCCAACTTGTAGCACAAATATTCCAAATGAGAGTGAAAATGAAGAACTTGATGGGAGTAATGGAAGGAGGATCAATTCCTGCATTAAGCGATCTTGAGGACGCAATGAAAGCAGAACAAAAGGTTTCTTCTTCTTCTTCTTCTTCTTCTTCACATTTAACATGTGACAGAGTTTAATGGATTCTTTGTAAATGTATCTTAGGCTCCACCTGGAACCGCAAGGAGGAAGAGAAAGGCGGAATCAAGGAAGAAGTTTGTGGAGTCGGCATCAAGCAAGCCAGGTCCTCGTGGGTTTGGGTCTGGTAATTAGAAAAGTTTCAGTCGTGGGATTTGGGAACCCCTATTTGGTTAATCTCAAACGGATTATTTTTGTATTAGTTAAATTAATGAATATATAATTCATCCATTTGGAAAGACATTTTGAATTATCCTAAGTTTTCATTAATGATTTGGTAATGAATTAACATTTGGTGGCTCGGTTTCTTGTAACCCAAGTAACAATACTTGTTCATTTTCTTTCCAATGTCTCTATAAAGTGGACTCGAGTGCAGCAACGCTCTTTAATTAAGTCATTTCTGGAGGATTCAGTGGAACAAACTCAGCTTTTATGGTGAATAGAATATTGTCTACACTACTAAAAACCACTGTTAGAAAGAATTTTGAAAAATGATTAGAGCGTTTTTCTTTTATATGAGTTTACATCGAACAGAATCAAATATCCAAACCAAATAATCGAATACACTAACCGAATAAACTGCAGTTCTCGGTTTATGTTCGGTTTGATTTTCTTAGTGTGGGAATCGGGACAATTATAACCGAAATTCTAATCTAAAACATCTCCGGTTAAAGAGAATTGTCACCCCCAGATTTAAAACACTGAAGTAATAGTGAAGATTATTCGATTTGATTCGATTCCATTTTGTTAAGGAGAAATGCCATTTCTCCTCCGTCCAGCGACGTCGTGTCTCCTCTTTCCGCCGCCGCCATTTCGCCGACGGAGCTCATCTCTCTTTCTCAAAGATCCAATCCAACCGTCGCCGAGGCCTCTGAGCTCCGGAAGATCCTCCGTTTTGCTTATTCGGGCCAACACAAGCGTCAATTCGCTAAAACCCTTCGAAAATGTTAAACCCTATCTACAATCGGAATCTAGAAACATCCTCGCTGGCTGGCTCTGCAGCTTGGTCTCTGTTGTCTCGCTTTCTCAGATTATCCCCAGGATCGGCTCCTTCACCTCCAACCTAAACGCAAACGCCGCGAGCCCTATGAAGCTCAGAGACGCGGGTCTCGTGCTGGCGGCTCTGTTTCTGGCTAGGGTCGTCGCTGGTTATCTGCAGCAAGCGTATCTTTGGGAGGCTGCGTTGAATTCGGTTTATAGGATTCGGGTTTTCGCGTATCAGAGGGTTTTGGAGAGAGAACTTGAGTTCTTCGAAGGTGGGAATGGGATTTCATCAGGAGATATTGCTTACCGTATCACTGCCGAAGCTTCTGAAGTGGCTGATACTGTCTATGCTCTTCTCAACGTGAGTAGGGGAAATATCATCACTTTTGCTTATTCACAGGATAAATTGTATAAGTTTTGCTGACTATAAGCTACACGTATTGCAGACGGTGGTGCCCAGTGCTTTTCAGATATCTGCAATGGCGACACATATGTTAGTTGCGAGTCCTGTTTTGACACTAGTCTCTGCAATGGTGAGTGAAGAATGTCTTTGTTCGTGTTTCTCATCAGCTCAAGCAATGTGAAGTTTCTTGTTTTTTTTAATAGGTGATCCCATCTGTTGCGCTCGTCATAGCTTTTCTTGGTGACCGGCTTCGCAAGATATCCAGAAAGGCTCAGATTGCCTCTGCTTCACTTTCTTCCTACTTAAATGAGGTATTCCTTTACTGCCTCCTATGTTCTTCTTTCTGATTTTCTCACTTTGAACATCTATCTATATTTGTTTTTTTTGTTTTTTTTTTCTTCTTATTATTTCTGGTCATTATCAAGAAAGTTACTAAAGCAGAGCTTTTCTTTTAGGTTCTTCCTGCAATCTTGTTTGTGAAGGCTAATAACGCAGAGATCTCTGAGACTGTGAGGTTTCAGAGATTTGCTCGTGCTGATCTATCTGAACGTTTTAAGAAGAAAAAAATGAAGTCACTTATCCCTCAGATTGTTCAAGTTATTTATCTCGGATCATTGTCCGTGTTCTGTGTTGGAGCGGTGACACTTGCAGGCTCTTCTTTAAGCTCTAGTGCGATTGTGTCCTTTATGACATCATTAGCTTTCTTGATCGAGCCTGTCCAGGTACATACATTTTTTGCATTTAGTACCTAAATGATTTTATCTTTGATCCTGCTGTCTCTCTTAATATTTATGTTATGAATTCCTTAAACTGTAGTTCTCCTAAACACAGCGGTATCACTTCTTTTCTTTTGCTTCAGTATTTTGGATGGTCAAATCTACTTTTCAGTATACATCTACCTTCTTTGCTTAAGATTTTGAATCTAAAGAATCATGCAGGATCTGGGAAAAGCTTATAATGAACTGAAACAAGGAGAACCAGCGATAGAACGTTTGTTTGATTTAACCTCCTTAAAATCCAAGGTAGTATCTTCAGTTTATACTCCCCAATAAGAGGTTTCTTTTCTTTGTCCATCTCAAAATCTAATGCAAAGTGACTTGGATTGCGTCTTGAAAACTAGGTGATCGAGAGAGCTGAAGCCATTCGATTGGAAAAGGTTGCAGGCGAAGTTGAATTATGCGATATTTCGTTTAAATATGGGGAAGAGATGCTTCCTGTTTTAGATGGGTTGAATCTTCATATTAAAGCAGGAGAGACTATAGCTCTTGTTGGGCCATCTGGAGGAGGAAAGACAACATTGATCAAATTGCTTCTCCGCCTTTACGAGCCTTCATCTGGTGCGCAAATTTTGTTGTTCAATTTGTCTCCATCTTGATCACAAGGTTTAGAACCGAATGATTTGTCGTCTAAGCACATTTTCTTTTTCTACTGTAATAGGCTCTATCTCCATCGACAAAAATGACATCAAGGATATCAAACTGGAAAGTTTGAGGCAGCATGTTGGTCTGGTTTCACAGGACATAGTAAGTTCCACTCCTCAAAATTTTCTCCTTCGTTCATGATTCATCCCAAAATTGGCTTTAATGTTTCATTGCTAGCAACTTAACTTTTTCTACATATACAAGACTCTTTTTACAGGGACAGTTGCTGAGAATATTGGGTACAGAGATCTCACGACAGGAATTAACATGAAGAGAGTTGAGGTTGCTGCAAAAACTGCAAATGCTGATGAATTTATCAGAAATCTACCAGAGGGATACAACACCGGAATCGGTCCCAGAGGTTCAAGCTTAAGCGGAGGCCAGAGACAAAGGTGGGTCTGGAAGAGTGATTAAGACAAAACCCAGTGAATGTTTCTTTCTTCCATCGAAGATCCAAAACCAGTTTGATATATTCTCTTCAGGGTATGGTAATCCAGATGCTAATCTTCTTGTTATCATTGGCAAATGTGCAGACTAGCTATCGCAAGAGCACTCTATCAGAACTCATCCATACTGATTTTGGATGAAGCAACATCAGCATTGGATAGTATGTCAGAGTTATTAGTCAGACAAGCTCTTGAACGTGTAATGGAAGACCATACGGTAACTACATGCATCTCAGCTCGTCGGGATTATTCAAACACGTCCTGGTTCCATGACTCTGATGTTTGCATTTGCAGGTAATTGTGATTGCACATAGACTGGAGACAGTTTTGATGGCACAGAGAGTGTTCTTGTTAGAGAAGGGAAAGGTGAAGGAGCTAAGTCGCTCTTCTCTGTTAAATACTCACAAGGACTCACTTTCATCTGCTGGACTCGTGATTTGAGATCAATGAAGTATGATCAAGAGCAGGTAGAGATCAACTGTTCTGTAGATAAAGAGAAGACAAAACATTCCTCTTGTGTGTAAAGTGTAAACCATTCAATTATTGTTTAAAAATAGGAGGAACAAATCATTTGTTGAGCTCAAAGCCTACAGAGTTTTTGTATCTTTCCCTAGTTATGCCTTTTGATACATAGTGACAGTATACACGTAATAACAAAAGATCAAATTTGGTTGCTACTCATGTAAAAGAAGAATGATTCAACGGATTCACTGTTTCACCATGAAGGAGCTTTTACAACTGCATCCACCCACTGCGGCTGGGTTTTCAGCTACCTGAACACACACCAAACAAGCATTAGAATGTAGAAATCAAAAGGTTGCCGAAATTTGTGAATATGTACAAAACACGCTGTTTCACTCATTTCATCTTGTCATCATTTCGAAAAAACAGGGCACAAGGAAGACAATGTTACATATGGTATAGTTAAGAATCTAAGGCTTACGGACTTCAATAAGCCTAGGCCAAACAGACAAGAATGCTTCCATAGACTAGATAAGCAAGGAAGAAAATGACAAATGAACAAAAATAACTCTTAAGTATTGAAAGATAAAAGATAGAGGGCGTTACCACGAAAGCAGAACGGATCAATTCCTCTACGTAATCAACCGTAGCACCTTTCACAAAGTCATACGACACATTATCTACAACCAATTTCACACCATTCCTCTCGAAAACCCTGCAATATTTTCAGAACAGCTAAATATTACAAACGATGTTCTGCAGCACGGAGAATAAGTGAGTCTTTCAAGCTTGAGGGAAAGAACTAATATAGCAAGAACTGAGGTGAGAACAGTACCTGTCATCAGGATTGGTTCTATTATCAAGCTCAAATACATACTGGAAACCAGAACAACCTCCAGTTTCTACACCCAAGCGAAGCAATTTCTTCTCCGGTTCACCGGATTGTAACTCTTTCATTCTCTGATAAAGGTCAAGACAAGTGGGGAAACAAGAATTCATGTCTGTTCTTAACAGTCCGAATATGGAAATCATGCACAGGACAGAAATTTCAGAGCTTGAGAACAACAGATATGAACATGCGCAATGACAATCACTAGCGATGGGTTGACAAAAAACTTGTTAATGATGATAATTAGTGGCGTTTAATAAATCATATGGTAGAGGTCTTCACGTTCACAGATTTCAGGATCACTAATCCAACATAGCCAAAGTATATATTTTTTTTTTTACATCAGCCAAAGTATATCTTAGGAATGAAATCCTCGTATTTATAAGAAATCGATGTTCATATTATTATCTTTTCAATTCAAGCAGTTTGAAGGTAGAAAACATTTTCCTTTCTTCCCATCTCCGCAGAATCGTGAACTTGTTAAATTGTAGACGAAGAGCCACGATGAGAAAAAAATAACAGAAAAGTAGGAATCGGAATTTGGAGAAACAATTCAAACATCAGATGCCATACCCGGATACAATTCTCGCTAAGATGGACAGCTTCGAGAGAAGATGATTCAGATTGGGAGGACGAAGAAGGAGGAGAAGAAGCTTCTTTGAGAGCAGAAGCGGAAGAAAAATTAAGCATCCGATGATTTTCTCTAATACGAGCAGATAGATATGGAACAACGCGTTTCACCAGAGATCTCGACATGTTTCAATCCTTCAGAATATCTCTCTCTCTCTCTCTCTCTCTCTCTCTCTCTCTCTCTCTCTCTCTCTAGATTTTACAATTTAGAGCTTCTTTGCCATGGAAGACAAATCTTTCAAGTTCTCCGGAAAATTTCTTCCTTTCTGGGAATTTTGTTACTTCGTCAATATCAACAGACGATGAAGGAGGCGAGAAAATTATTTGGTCGTGTTTATACCACGCTTCTTTTAACATCCACGTAATCTATTTCTATATTGCCCCCACAATTTATAAACGTTTTCTAAATTGACCCATTAATTCGTTTGAAAATCAATTTCGTCCGTGATATGCAAATTATATTTCCTCTACAAGGTGAGGAGATCTCTTAAACTCACGTTAATAATAGTATGACACATAAAGGAAGACATTGATTACAGAGAGTATTCTGAACATTCTCACGAGCAAGAAAATGAATTTTTTGTATATACAAATAACTGTACATAACTTATTGTTGGATTTTGTGTAACTCTCAAGAACAAGCATACAAGCATACTCAGATGTCCTGAATGATATTTAATAAATATAAACAAGATCAAGCTTGCTGTTATGGTTGTGTTAGAGAGAGAGCTCAGTAGCAGCACGATATGTTTCCATCAGTTCTGGAACAAGAGAGGCCTATAAAAACCAATGATTTTCTCTGTCTTGAACAGAGGAAGAATGTCTAAATAATATGTACCATGGCCTTTGTCATCCGCTGGAAATTGGAATGTCCATGAATGTCTTAAGTTGTTGAGATGATTCTGTGTCGCAGATGATGTGTGAGCTGATACGAAACTACACGTTGTCATAAGTCCCTGGAATCAGATGTAAAATCGGAAGGGATTTGAGATTGAGATTAAGAAATAAAACCATTAGTAGTTGCAGCAAGGGAATGTGATTCGCTTACGTTGAGTTGACATTTCAATCTGATTTTTCCACCTCTCGGAATCTTCTGTCCCATTCGTCTGCCTCATAGTCTTGTTCAAGCATATCTCTATCTGTACTGTAAACGATCCGCTCCTTCCCTATGACTGTATTTTGAGCCATATCCCTTGCACTCAGTAGCTGCATTGCATTAGTTTAAAGGCGTCATTTCACAATTCCCAAGTTACAAGAAAAAACCATGGCTGTTTATTACATTTACCAAATTAAACGTCTCCCTAGATTTATATAACTACTGAGGTGCCTACCTTACGCCGTAGTGCGATATCTGGAGATTCAAGTGCTCGTGCGAACTGTAGCCGAGCTTTGTTTCTATTCTCTATCTGATCATTCTTTCTCTTGACTGAAAACCACCGAACCAAAGGGATGGCAAAGAAAGAGCCTGCGTATACCTGCACAGTCATTCGTACAAGTCAATTAAGGACACCAACAGAGATAGTTTAGAACGTTGCTAACAAAGACTGGTCATCTGAATTAAAACGAAAAAATAATCCATAAGAAGTTGTTTCTTTCAGAAACAACCTTGACATCATGGTTAAAGCAAATAGGAAAAACCAGAAGCATGCAGCAGTTTGCCATATGAACAGAAACTAAATCATACCTGAAGTAGTGGATATATGTTCTTAACAAATGTGAGAAATCCACTTGGCGTGACAGCCATCTCCCTGGAAACGAAGACAACAACAAGGTTGCGTTATAGCCTTATAGGTTCATATAGGAGGGCCTTACTTTATATTGAGTATAATATAGGAGGGCACTTACTTTAGCATGGCGTTCAGAACAATAACACCAAAGAGATTAACCGCACCTAGGCCAACGACCATTGCTCTCTCAGATGAACTAGTTTTACTGTGAAAGGAAGATTCCATTATTAGGAACTGAACCACAAAAGCAATAAACACTTCTCATAATTTGTAAGATATTAAACATTCCAGGAGCAAACAATGATAAGAACCTAAATTGCCATTTTCTCTCCTTGAAGAACTTCTCCATATCTGCAACCCAGTCGAACCATTTTCCTACGTATTCCTTTTTTCTACTAGACCCAGAAGCTGTGCGTTGCAGGGATGGAAAACGATACAGAATATTTCCCTAAGCAACAGCAAAAAAAAATACTTGTTAGTAAAAATGACTAAAGGAAATACTGCAGTTCATGCACCTTTGGGCATCACATCTCAAGCAACTAGAAAGATTTGCATACCTCTTCATCCAACTCAGGTTGACCATCAAATCGAAGAAGAACAGGTAGAATGTAAGATTCATCGCTCTGTACAAATCAAAAAGAAAACTTAAGAAGCTGAAAACCATGTCTAATTACATTATTTAGTGATACAACAAGCACGAAAGGTAAACGAGAACAAAGGGACCAGCACACAGACATCTAGCAGCATAAAAAATTACCTCGCCTTACAAGAAACAAGAAACAGTAAGCAAAATATACCGTATCACTCTTGGAAGATGGCACATCAAGATATGGAGCAAGTTCGTCAGCTGCAACAACACCTCCTCTGGAAGTTATATACCGCCCAATCTGCAAATATGTTCAGAAGCGTAGTATTTCATTATATGACTGATATATATTTTTATATTCAAATCTTAAGAAAGAAAATAATAATTCCATAGGAGTGTAAAACAAACATATCTATATATGGAACCTAATCCCCGGTTTGCTTACTAATCATAAAAAAGAAATCATCTAAGATGTTTCCAGTTTCCACTAAAGACCTGAATAGGATCAAGAACATGAAGAAATAAACATGAGTAGATTGAAGTTCTGCACATTACCATCTGCCACCTCTCTTCTTCAGTTCCTTCATTTGGGTCTCCATCTCCAAATACAAAGGAGAAAACCTAGAAATCAACTATTGCTTAATTCAAGTCATTATCACACAGCAGCAGCTGTGTAAGAAACATATAGCAATGCATGAAAGCTTTCAATTTCCTCTTACAGATTCAATGAAATTCATTCCCTTTCCTTCATCTTCTCGAGCTCGTCGCCTACTGTAATAATTGGGATCCCAGTACCTTTCATAAAAAAACTAGAATATGACCAGGAGCTTCCGTTAAATTAATGAGTGGCCCTCTCTGTTTACATAAGAAATTCAAATTACCAAAATAGATCGACGGGGTTGATAAAGAAATTGAATCCAGAATCATATCCGCGCCCGCGTCTTCTTTGACGATTATCATCCTCGCTTTTAACAGAATCCAAAAGGTTAGCGCCAAATTCAAACCAAGGATGACAATATATCTTGTTAACAAGACAATACAATTGCAGCCAAGTCAGATGGATACCTTCTGCTTGAAAGCAAGACTATAATTGTGGTGTAGACGATAACAATAGACGCTATAAGCGCAGTGCCAAAGGAAACACGAGTCAGATAGTCTACAGCACCCTGCCAGGCACATAATAGAGAGAGAGCTCAGATGAGATAAGAAACAGTCGAGTTCAAATCGATTCACTGTTGAAAGGAACCCAATAGATCGCATAACAAAAGACACTACCTTTGCCTTTTCAAGAAATGGCTCAATCTGTATCCTTAACGACTTGGTAGCCAACTTAGAACGATAGTCCCTTGGGAAAACATAAAGCACATCACCTTCATCCGAGACCTAAACGAATAAATTTAGCACCTTCAGACGACTAAACGGAAGATGAAATGCATAAAGGTCAAAACTTTACTGAAACTCCGGTATCAATTTGAACTAATGGGCATGAAGTGAATACCTCCAGAAACCCATCAGTGTCGGCGGCGATAGCTTGAAGCGCTTTCTGAGCTTCGGTAACCTTCAAGCCGGCTCTGCTAGCCACGTCACCAACAGTGACTCTCCGGCCACACTCGTCCACCGCTTCCATAGCTCGTTTCCGTACATCAGTCGGCAACTTGTCGCTCTCCACCAATCCCCCTAGTTTGATTGCGCCGCTAACCTTATCTATACTCGCCGCCCTCACCACCGCGATTCCATGGCTCGTGAACTCCCGCCGGGAGCTCGGGAACCTCTTCGTAAAGATTCCGGGAAAAGCATAACAACGATCGACGGGAGATCTGAGGCGAATCACCGGCTTTTTTGATGAAAAACCCGATTGGGTTAACTTAGGGGAGACGATTAAGCATGTCGACACACACGTCATTCTCTAATTACAGCTTTATCTTCTTCTTCTTCTTCTCTAGTTACGACTTCGAGTTTCCGCCATGGGAGATGTTTATATGGTTCAAAATCGAAGCATTGGGATTTTTCGAATGCCTGAAAGAAGTGATTATCTCTCTCCCACGAAGTGTAGCAGCAAATACATAACCGAGTAAACCGATTGGTACACCTCTCATAATCTACCGGTTACTGTTTCATAGACCAGTTTTCCCCTGTTCGGTAATCTTACTGTTCATTAGTCACTGGAATTTATCAGCAGTTACAGTGAAATTTTCAGATTACTAACCTCTAACTCTCTAAGCAATATTAGAGTAAAGTTCAAGATCAAGTTTTTTCTTACTCTATAAATATGTTGACTGATTAGTTAGCTATAATAAGCCTAACAGAGGAATATAATATGCCATGGCAAGAGAGATGGACAAAATGTAGAGACTCATCGTTTCCATGATTTGTGCATCATGCTTATGGTTTCTTTCTAGGCTATGTTTGCTTTCGAAATCGGTTTTTGAGAAATGTTATGTTAATGTGATTAGTAAAGGGGAGTGACTGAGTGAGAGTCATGGGACTCTTCTAGCTTATGGACACGCTCCATATGAATACACAAATATCCAAATCTTTTAGAGCTTTACTCCAAGACTGAGTTCTTGAACATCGAGTACATCCCACGATGTGTTTGTTATCAATATCTCTCATCAGGCACGGAGTTCTGATGTAAACCAAACTGCAACTAAATAAACCGGGTCCAATTTCTCCTAAGTGGACCATTTAAAACAGTTCTCATACATAGGAAAAGTAGTATCCTGGTGTTTCTTTTTTTTTGGTTAGACAATCCACACAGATATTAGCACAAGGAGGAATGTAAAAACTACTAAAAGACACAACTAGCAATCTCAAACTAGAATAGATTTCGCTAACACGAAAGCAATTACTAATTCAAACTTGTAATCACATTTATTTATTTTTTTATACACGAACATACTGTATATGTATTTAATTGTTAGACATAAAGCCACTAGTCCAATAATATGTTATTTATCTATTAGTGTAATCCTTGTGATTAAATACACCATAGTAAAATATTGCCAAAAAATCTGATTTTGGTGAGATGATTAAGGTTCCCTGTTAGTTGTTATTTACAAGTGACTTTGTCAAGTTTGCAGAATGATTCAAATAACAACAACATTGGTATCTGACATAATCGTAACTCATGTGTTCATAATGAATCCCAATGTTGAAAATGAAATTAACTACAGGATTGTCTTATTTTTGATTTTTCTTGCATACCAAAGTTACTAACATTTAACAGTTTGAGGAATCAAATCCATATGATTGTGTTTTTTTAGTGGCTTGACTATCTAGTCAGTCGAAATAAATCAGGTTGAAAATTTTGGTTTTAAAAAATTTGATTAATGGTGTTTAAAAAAAAAGTTTAAATAACATTTTATAAAAAACAGAGAAAATTTATATTTTATAAAAAAAACTTTTGTTATTTACTCTTATTTTTATTAAGTTAGGATGATATTTGTTATTAGTGGTTTTATACGATATTTGGGCAATGATGTTATTGATTTTGTATGAATGGAAACTTTCAACATAATTAAAATACAAATTTTCGACATAATTAAAATACAAATGATAACGATAAGATAAGCGGTTACTACAATTCAGGAAAATAACCCAAAACTCTTTAGTGAGGGCTAATTCTTCTACTAAACGCGGTTCCAATTACGTTTGCCCTTGTTTGCAAAGGGAGCGCAGTGGTAACTGAATTTGCCGCTAACATTAATGTTGTATATTCACTTGCATCTTGAATCACTTGTATAAAATCAATATCGTCACTAATGACCAGTATGTACCGCTTAGACTCGAGTGCTTTCATGTACACATCCTCAGCCAAAAACTCTTGGTAATCTGAACATGGATGGAAAAACTTAGATTTGACTTGCATTGTTTGACGAGCATCCATATCTAAGTTTCTTTGATTAAAACAGGGTAAATGTGAACAATATGCTTTGGTGCTCACACAAAGTTACTAGTGTTTTAAGTGAAAATGTGTTTGTAATATGCATCTTTCATCATGAAATGTGTGTCTACTAAGATCGGGGATATTCAAGAACTTGTCTTATATGGATCATGAGCTCCACTTATTTTATTATGTATCTTATACAGTCTTTGTGCAGTTGCAAAGAAACGTCATGCATATTGTGGACGAATTCTGCCTGTTCTACTAAGCTTTGAATCACCTAAAACTTTCTCAAAGGAGTGCATGCTGCAGCTGCAAATCTTGCGCTGAAGATTCTATTTCTTTCCTGCTTGAAATGTACACACACTCCCCCACCCCCGTATTATTTTGTTCTACTCACCTCCAAAGATTTAGTTCACTCATAAATTTACGAACCGATTTAAATGTTGTCCGGTTTACTACGGTTCAAATCAAATTAGATGACCAATTTTTTGAAAAATACTAATTAACCCCAACCCAACACCTGAACCTCCCAATATAATTAACAATTAAGAGGGACAATTTGGTCAATAGAGTGGCCCTGACTATTTGCCCTATCTGCCGTCTTCTCCCACCCACGACAACCGCCTGTTCTCCAACTCGGTGTCTAATAAACCCTCAACATTCCATTCTCTCCATCCTTAGACGAATGCCCAACTCTTATTCCTCGACGATCCACGACGCATCTTTCGCTGGAATCTCCATATCTGGCCGATGCATTGCCGCGTTTTCTACGACTTATAGCAACGATGGCGGAGTAGGAACCCTAGATTAATTTTTTTGACTCATTAATCGTTGCACTAGTAAATAAATTTACTGGAAACGGAATACAGAAAAAAAAAAAATATATATATATATATATATACTCAACATCACAGTCGTCCTTTATAAAATTATAATAACATAGCTTCAAAGCTTATATACAACAAAACCCAAAAACAGAGTTTTTGTCCTTGACCAAAATTCATTACTGTTTTTGTATGTGAGACTATTAAAATTCAGGTATGCAATCTAACACAGGTCTCCAACCTCTATTACATTCAAGATTATCATCGTGATGATCAGTGAGCAAAACTTGTTTCTCAAGAGACTGGTACATCATCTCATGGACGGGCCCTCCTTGAAGCAGCTTCTCCAATTCTTGCTTATGCACAACGATCTTCATCCTCACAACACTTAGATTGATCTTATTGTCATCACTACTGTTGGTGCTGCTTTCAGTACCACTGTCATCATCATGATCTTCGTTTACTAATCTTTCGTCTTCCACCTCAGGATTCGCAAACGTCACTTTCTTGTTCTTCTTCTTGTTCTGGTTCATCGTTGTAGGCAGGAGATAATAGAGACGACCAGAGAGAAGCTTAGCTTCAGGGAGAAGATGACGATGGTGACGAGTGTTGTTGTCAAAGAGAGAGTGACCAGAAAATTGAGTAAGGATGTGATGAACACGAATGGGTTCTCTATATTCAAGCACCTTACCATCATTTCTCACTATCTTTATCACTTTCTTCTCCATTACTAAACAGTTCCCCATCTTCTTCTTCTTATTCTTTCTTACTTTTTCTTGGTGTGTTATGTGTTGTGTGCTTGGAGATTTGTGTTTGTATATTTATAAGAGTTTTTGGGTTTTCGTTAAAGTCACGGTTAGTGCCATTGCCATATCACGTAGGGCCCGATTTGATTCTTCCATCACTACCTTTTTCCTTTTTTAATAGTGGGTGGGGTGGTGTGGTCGGGGTGGTGCATTTTGTTCATTGTTCTTCTATCTATCCTTTATATGATTTTTTTTCTATTATTATGCAAAACGAGATTGAGTTGGTGTTGGCGGTCCTAGAATACAAGATGACGGTATTTTATATCACAACTAACCTAGTGTGTTTAGCAAATGTGATCCCAAAAATGTGTTTAGCAACGCAAACCATTCAAATGATAATTAAGTAATGGATCGGTATATAGAACTATCTAGTGTTTCAATCAAATTGTTTTGTGCCACGGTAAAATAATGTGGTATTCACAAGATAATGTATGTTCTAACAGAGTTTAGGGTTTTCTCATAATGATGACAGGTGGGTATATATATCTTATGGCCAAAGAATTCGGAAACAAGAAGAATCTACGTTATCCATAGTTTTTTTTTTATCTAATAAAATTATATGGGTCATAGGGAATTTATAAAACTCACATCCTTACCTCTCTGTTTACTGTTAAACGAAAAAAAAAAGTCTCATTCAAAGTATATTTACATCATAAATTTCACAATAGGGAACTTATAACTACAGTCACAAATCAATCGAGTCCTTGACGTTAAAAGTAAACAAGAAAAACGAAAGCATGCTATTGATACGCTTCTTCTTATAGTGGTAGTGGCAGGAAAAAAAAAGTGTTTACATATCTTAATCGGTTGGAATAGTTTTTGGAAAACTTTAACCAAATCCTAACTTTTTTTTATTTTTTTAATCCTAACTTTTTCGATTTAAGTATTCTTTAATGATTTTAAAAGCGTAATTGTCTAATATAACACACTTTATTTTTCTTTTTTTTTTGCATATGCATATGTTTTGTATCATAATTTTTATATAATTTAATGGTTTTACAATGATCAGTGTTTCTGTCATAACTTTTATTCCTTCGAATTGAGCTACCAATTAAAGGATTTACTCTAACGTAATTGTATGGTTGTCAGAAAAAGTTGTGAGTTCAGTATGATCTCAACATACATGTATGACTACGAGCAGATTGGAAACTAAAAGAATATTCCAAGGGTGTCATTTACAAAAGGTTTACATAAACTCAGAATATTTTGAAAGCAAATTTTTTTATGTTCATGTATGCCTAAAGCTAGGAAGTTATTCAGCATGCGGATAGTTTTTTCAAATCGTATGTAAAATGCTAAGTCAAGAGAAACACATTTTCAAACAAAATTAGAGTACCCATTATACGTATGTTGAGTGCAATTGACTAGTTTTTCAGGCAATGATCATAGACTTAGAAATAGTGTTTTTATGGATGTCACTGTCTCTAATTGGTTACCACATATATGTCCTAGGAAAAAAATGATTGAAACAGCGTAAACAGCCCACATTCAAAGGCCAAATCAACATACGATTTGTTTTGGTTCACTTTTGAATATTCAACTCTCTTTTTAACAAATCGTGTATTATTTTAATGTCTTTGCTTATAGAAAATGTTAAATCATCTAGATTTAGAGGATCCATGTGACTATCAATACCTAATATAAACAAACTAATTGTTGTACAAATTAAAGGTATGTTTTACATTAAATTGTGTAGAAATGCTTATAGCTAGGTGGAATTACAATCTCTTAATAGTATACTAAATTGAAGCCAAGTAATGGCAAAATGTTAATTCACATGAAAGTTAGTTATAACAAAATGTTAAATCACGTACGCATAGTTACAATATGTAAAAATATAATGAAAATTATATTAATGTAGGTAACGAAGATAGTTAATCGAAAAAGAGGCGACATAAATCGAGATAAGAATTACTATAAATAAACATTTGAGTAGAGGATGAGATTCCTTTTTCATTCACTTTTGGAAAGTACAGAGCCCTTTTGTGATTTTTTGGACAAAAACACGAAGTGACGAAGGCAAAAGGAATTTAGATTTCTCGTCCTCAGTTCCCATGCTTTTGGTCGGCTCACGTGCTACGCTCTAGCAAATCTACTTACTGCACGTGGCGGTCTTCTGTTGGTAGGCACCGTCCAAAGACCTCTTTTTTAAAGGAAACTATTGCTTTTGCTTCTACGAAGTTTTTTTTTTTTTTTTCTTTTTTTTTAGAAAGGCAGTAACAAATTCTTACTCTTTTGTTTTTTGTTTTTTACTGATTTCTTCCTTGAAGACTCAGGTAAGTCGATTTAGGTTTATTCCGCATAAACAGGTTAGACCTTCGTATGTTTGTTGTCAAGATCGGAGGGTAACATACCAGAAACATTTTTAAAAAGAAAATGTAAACTTTATTAAACAAACAAAAACACTGTATACAAAATTGTTGTAAATTAAAGATGAAATGAAACAGGGTTGAGAAATTGAAAAGAAGGAAGTGGAAAATGAAAAGCAAGAAATTTTGCTTGAGACTAATTAGTTAAGAGATATGATATAGATGAAGTAAGAATTTTTTCTCACCTCACTTGATAGAGAAAAAAAGTATAGTTGATATAATTGGGTTGCAATTTTCTAAAACAATTTTATGGAAAGGAACAGGTGCTAGGAAATATAATAATGAAGTAAATAAACTAGTCTAAAACGAGTTTTGATATGAAAACTCAAACAAACCCAAGACAAAGGTGTGTTTAATTTTTTGTTGTTGTTATTGTAGCCAGGAATATTTAGGCGTCATATCAATAATACTCTCGAAATGGAGACGAGAACAAATTAAATTAGTGTATTCTCTGTCGTATCACTCGTGTTTATACAATGAGTTATCAGTCCTGGTGTCCCGAGCAGTCAGGTGTTTCTTTATGCTTTTTGGCAGCTGGTTCTGAGATTTCGCTTTGACAAAATGTGAGACCTTCATCTATTAGCAATCCTGGCCAGTCAGGGTCTTCTGTATCGTTGCCGCCCTGAGACGGAGTTGCTAAGAGAACATTGAAAGAGGCGTCATGAAAAGTTTTTAGTATAAACGAGAATAAGACGTTCTCTCTGACTTTATCAGAGACGACGACCAGATTTGCTGAATGAGGCTCAGGCTCATCCCGAGGAGAGTCCAGTGCCCATAAATGAATGTCATTTAACATTCTATTAAGTATCGAGGCCCCTGGAAAATAGATATATCAATTGGAACTAGTGAGATATAGTGTATAGATTAAATTGATCGATCAACATAATTAGGGAAATTAAAAGAGTGTGAGTTTAATTCGGAGGGGCAAAGGATATATTCACCTCCGGGAAGGAAGTAGATTCTGGATTGCCACGTCTTGTTACCCCGCAGATACTCACCACTCCAAGAAGAAGACCCGTTTTTGTTATCAACATAAGCCCAGATTGACAACTCACCAGAAAAACCATCTTTAACGAGAGAGCCTCGTTGATTTTGCGGGAGATAAAATCGGGATCGGAACAATCAGGGAATGGGCAAACCGAGAGGTCCCAGAAGAAGGCTGCCTTACCCCCATTGGCCGGTAATACAGTGATACGCTTGTAGAAATCTTCAATCGTCATTTCACTGCTGGAGATGGATGATACCGAAAAATCCTTTAAGTCAGCATCAGAATCGATGCTTTGTGGGCTTCCTAAATGTCCTTCTAGGGGGCTTTACTCCACAAAAATACTGTGTACGAGCAACTAGTGATTCTACGGAGAGCAATGGACTACTTTCTTGTGCTGCTGCGTCAACGACTACGAGAACATGGTAATTTCTCAATGCCAAACACCGCTGAATCCTGTACAACTCGCTGTCTGGGTTTTGTTTTGCGAGATTACCAAATAGTTTTTGGAGCTGCAGGGCGAGCCCAAGTAAGCATCGTGTAAGGCATTTTGAAAGCAGTCGACTTTTCATAATCCCAAACGGTGCCATACCGTGAACCTATATATAAACAGAGAGACCTCTCGATTACGATTACTTGCAGAGACATTATTATAATAATTTTATTAGGTAGGAGAGAAGAAACGACAAAGAGGAACTCACTTTTTTGGTCACGATCACTAAACACCTGGATAATCGCCGCTCCTTGATAGAATCTATCATATATATAAGGTGACTGAAGAAACCCTAATACTCTTAAATAGGTCAAAGTACAAGAGATGACTTCTTTGCCAAGTAAGATCTCTGCTGCTCTCTCAGCCTTTGTAGGCTTTATCGCTGCGGTTGAGATCTATCAGCTGTGCCTGTCATGTTTTTAACCGTTGGATCTCAATCAAAAAAAAAAAATTAAGGGTGTATTAAACCCATCTATCACGAGCAGCGTCATTTACAAACCCATCAAATGAGCCAGCGTAATTTTAGACGCAATCATAAATGCACTTTTAGACGAGTTATAAATCAAAAATAGGGATTTTGAGCCCTCACTTATTTCTTTGGTTTTACAGTGATCCAAATCCGAAATATTAAACCAAAAATTAAACCACAACCAATATCAAACCGAATCCGAAATATTTATAGTGTTTCGAACTCAATTCGAAATATTAAACAAAACCCGATTCGAAATCAATAAATCTGAGCATAATATCCGAATCTGAAACCAATGGTTTAATATTTCTGTCATAAAAATTGTAAAATCATTAAATTATAAAAGTTATGTTTTCTGTCATAACTTTTATTCCTTCAAATTGAACAACCAACGTAATTGTATGGTTGTCCGAAAAATTTGTGAGTTCGAGCAGATTGGAAACTAAAGAACATTCCAAGGGATCAAATATTACTTATCTCTGAAAGGCCCGAAGCCCATTAATACTTTGATGCCCATATATTTTAAAAAACCCGCACTGAAATCATCGATGATGTATATCCGCACTTTCTCACAAGGAAAAAATCTTATATTTTTAGAGAAAGGGATATAGAAAAATAAACGTTGAATAATAATTAAATCAGAAAAAGGTTTTAGAAGAAGAAAAATCGATGGCGGGGATACTTGTGAACAATATCCTCCCTCAACCTCCGATTTTCTCACCGGTGGTTTCTTCTTCTCGAAGCAGATCAACCCGAACCCTAGTTCTGGTCAAAGCTTCCGCCGAATCTTCCGATTCAGTTTCAGTGTCGGCGAAATCCAGCGAGGACGTCGGAGCAGTTCTATTCACTGCTCCTCCCGGTTTCAAGCCTCCCGAGCCGAAACGCTTCGCCGTTAAACCCGGAAAACTCTTCGATGTCTTGGGTGCAGCCGTCGGGTTGCTTTTCCGATTCGGCACTGGGGTTTTCGTTACTGGGTAATTTTCTTTTTTTTTGTAAATTTTTGATTTTTTTTTGGGAGCTTGAATTGAATGTGTACAGAGTCGTATCACTCGTGTTTATGCTTGATGGTTTCAATTGATGTAACTGCAATTTAATCGATTTGATTTTCTCTTCGTTGTATCTGAGTTAGGTACTCTGCATCATTCGTGTCCAAGGACGATGTTCCAGCTGATCAGTATGCGTTGCGTATTGGCGGTAATCATGAACAATCTCTAAGCTTTTTCACTTTCTGTTTCTCAATTGGTGTCAAGATTAGGAAATTTTCTCTAAAAGCCTTGTCTTTCAGATGAGTTTGTGAATAGATGGTAATCATAATGGTTGAGATGCTGCTGCTATGTGTAGGGATCACGGTAAAGGAAGCCTCGAAGCTCGGACCTCGCCCTGAGAAACCCATCGAGATATATGAGTTTGAAGGGTATGTATGAGATTGTGCTTTTAGACTCATTTTGGTTTCTATTTTCTTTCGATATTGAATGAATGCTTCACTTCTCTCCAATTTCCGGTATGCGATTATAGCTGCCCCTTCTGCCGGAAGGTAACTCTCTCTCTCATTTCTTTAGACTTTTAAATAACCAATATCATTGTCTTTACAATTAGCGTAAGATTCTGAAGGTTTTTTTTTTTTTTACTTACTTAAAATCTTTGCTTGATACCATGGAAACAAGTTGTTGATTCTTTCCTGTCACTCATTTTAGCTTTTCCTCTTTTTGTCCGAGTCCCCTTCAGCAAAATGTGTGTGGTCTTCTTGTATGAATGTATTGCAACAGCTTAAGGTAACTCTACTACTATGATCAATTTTCAGGTCAGGGAAATGGTTGCAGTGTTGGATCTTGATATTCTCTATTATCCTTGCCCAAGAGGGAGCCCGAATTTCCGCCCGAAGGTTAATCAGATGGGCGGGAAACAACAGTTTCCGTACATGGTTTGGCATTTTATCCTCGTGATTTTCTATTTCTTCCCACGAGAGCCATCCTTGGAACTAATGTTCTTTGCCCTGATATGTCCTTGCTTCGAGTTCAAAATCATGATGACTTAACCACAGAAATGTGGTTCAAGAAGACATCTATGAATGCTCAATCTTTGGAACGAAAAAAAGTTATTTGTTGTTCATAAACCCTCAGAAACCTGAATACGTTTATATGCACAGTCGAAACTCATCTCTGTTGCCTTGCCACCACTTTTACTCGCTAAGAAATAAGAATTTTCATGTTCCGTGTTTAATTGTATGTTGTTTCTTTTAATTATAGGTTGATCCAAATACTGGAGTGTCCATGTATGAATCAGATGGAATCATCAAATATCTGTCCGAGAAATATGGTCAGTCTCTGCTTCTATTTAGCCTAATTCTCAATGGCTTTTGACAATATCATCCTCTTTTCATTGGCATTACTATTCAAGTAATTTGTTTTCTCTCTGTTTGGGTAAACTTGTTCAGGAGATGGAACAGTTCCTTTAAGTCTGAGACTTGGCCCGTTGACGGTTAGTTTCTTTTCACATGTTACGGATTATTTTACTTTGCTTCAAAATCCAAGAGTAAAAACTAGTATTGCTACTTTGATGTTGTAGGCTATAACAGCTGGTTTTGCAATGATCGGCCGTATGGGAAAGGTAAGAAGAAATTTTTATTACAATATATATATGTACTAAAGACAATGCAAACGAAACTAATAAGATCAAATGTTCCTCTATGGTAGATTATGCTGCCCAAAATAGTAATTGATTATGTGTTATACAATATCGTTATAAGCAACGGTCTTGTCACAAAATGCTTGAGTTTTTACCTTGCAGGGTAACTTGTACACACCAGCAAAACTACCACCTAAGCCACTCGAATTCTGGGCATATGAGGTCTGGTCTTCACTTTTCTTCGATCTTCAAAAACCAACCCGAGTCTTATTAAACATAGAATCTCTGTTTGAATTTCCCTGCAGGGTTCTCCGTTTTGTAAACTTGTACGCGAAGTTCTTGTAGAACTGGAGTTACCACACATTCAACGCAGGTATGACAACAACAAACAACAAAAAAACTTTTATAGCAGCCACCATCTACTATTCATGTATTTGTTCAGAACCAAAGGAACAATAGTCTTTTATTAATATCGTTTGTCTTCATCAGTTGTGCTCGTGGTAGCCCCAAACGGCAGGAATTGCTCAATAAAGCTGGTCACTTTCAGGTGGGTTAGAGAAATACATAACATAGAGAAATACATAACATAGAGAAAGAGAAGAAGAAGAATTGTGATGAATTGTGTTTGTTTCTTTTTGTATATAAAAAACAGGTGCCTTACCTGGAAGATCCAAACACTGGAGTAAATATGTTTGAGAGTGCAGAAATCGTAGAGTATCTGAAGCAAACTTATGCTGCTTAAGTTCACTCTATACGCGTATAGATAGATATATATGTGAATCTGTGTGTGTACGCAAACTTATGATGCCTAGTTGAGCTACTTTCTGTTTCAACAATAAACTCATCAACTTTAAGTGTAGGGGCTTTATATATCAACCAACTAATGTTGTGACATGTGACATTTTTCTCCAAGGTTTGACCTTCTTTCCTATTGTCCTTTTTTGTAAAAATCTATTGTTATCTTTTGTTGTCAAAAAATAAATGAAAAAAATTGGTTATAGTTTAACCTTTTTCCTAGTTTAAGTCTTTAAGATATAGAAAAAAAAAATATTTAGAACCAAGTTAGAAGAATTCTGCAAAATATTTAGATAGCTATTGTCGTCGTTAGGGTTGAATCAGCAGGCCATTTTTCAGTTTTTATCTTCGAAAAGCTTTCTAAAAACATTTCCAAAATCAAAAGGGCAGGAAATAAAAATGATAACATAAATAGTAAACAGCTAAATAAATTGGATAAAAAACCAGTAAATAAATCATGCGATGGACCATCAAACTTATCCATTCTCTTCGCATTCCAGTTGCATGTTTGGAGATCTTCCGTTTGCTATTTGAGTCCATCAGCTTGTTTTTTTTTGTTTTTTTTTTTAAATTTGGAAGCTTATGCGTTTTTACCGTTTGGCATACTCTGCTTGTTTTTTTCTTTTTGCTTTTTCAACACTTTTGGCAATTTTTTTGCGTGTTCCTTTTGAGTTTTGAGTGTGCCGTTTTTAGCGTATTTTACTATTTTGTATGTCCCTTTGTTTTGTTTTCTGCCTATTTTCGACTAGCAATCCTTCGGTTTTCCGTTTTCGGCACTTGTCTTGTTAATTTCATTACATTCTCCTTGCCAATTTATATTATTTGGTGTTTCGACCAGTATTTCGACGTGCCTTTGAATATTTGGTGTTCCTTGTCTTGTTCCTTGTCTTTGCCATTTAGTGTTTGTTTTTCTTTTCTTTTGTGTTGTTTTTGGCGATTAGGATCGGTGCTAGTAATTTTTGTACCTCGTTCTACTACAACTTCGCTCATCCACACGCATATCTGTGCAGCCTATACATACATCTATACATTCACATCCTATACTTTCATACCCTATACATACATCTATACATTCACACCCTATACATCCATATAACATTCACACTCTATGCATACATCTATACATTCATACCCTATACATACATCTATACATTCATGATTCATACCGTATACATACATACTAAGTTCACCCCCTATACATATCTATACATCATCCATTCTCATCTCACACTCTACATACATTCATGTATCTTTATCAGAAAAAATGAGATACAAATATTGCTACATTATAGTCTGGTCAACTTCAAAGGCTGGGCAAAGCAGAAGATGGAAAACGCTGGGCAGTGGGCACGGTCTTAAGGTTTTTTTCCCTTCAACCCTCTGCAAAATTAATAAATCAAAATCAGGCTTTTTTCATTACGATCGGTTTTTCTGTTTGTCAATTTTGATATACACAAATATATTAAAAAAAAAAAATCAAAAATCATCTAATTTTAAACCCATTCTTTCTTAGTTTTTCATAACTCTATATTTTCTTAGACAGAACATATATTTCTAGCTAAAAAATACAGGTCATCAAACACAAATATATAGCTAAAAATCAGTTCTAAAAAAAAAAGATGAAAAGCTAAAATGGATTTTCAAAAAAAAAGAGGAAAACAAGCTAAAAATCAGTTTTATGAGCTAGTTTAAGTAAAGACTGATTTTTATGTTCAGTAAAGACTGATTTTTATGAGCAATTTAAAACAGAGCATTTGATTTTTTATGTTCAATCCCATAAAAGATGTTTAAAAGATAAAGAACAGGTACTCAAACTAACAAAAACCACTTAATGGTAAACAAAATCAGTGTTCATTACGATCGGTTTTTCTGTTTGTCAATTTTGGTACATGCATATGTATTTACACAAATATAAAAAAAACAAAAATCAAAAATCATCTAATTTTAAACCATTCTTTCTTAGTTTCTCATAAAAAAAAAAAAAACTTAACTCTCTATATTTTCTTAGACCAGAACATATATTTCTAGCTAAAAAAAACAGGTCATCAAACACAAATATATAGCTAAAAATCAGTTTTTTTTTTAAAAAAAAAGATGTAAAGCTAAAATGGATTTACAAAAAAAAGAGGAAAAAAGCTAAAAATCAGTTTTATGAGCTAGTTTACGTAAATACATAAATATATATAACATGGATTTAAAGCAGAGTTTTGAATTTTTATGTTCAATCCCATAAAAGATGTTTAAAAGATAAAGAACAGGTAATCAAACCAACAAAAACCACTTAATAGTAAACAAACTAGAGCAATTAGACCAGAGTATTTTACCTTGTATGAGGGCTTATGTTTGCTTCTCTGGGCTAATGAGAAATATAGATATTGAGTGAGAACTCAACTCCAGTGGAAGAACAGAACTAAGGAAAAGAAAGAAAAAAAAGATTGTAGTCGACATTTGTAAGAAATAAATCAAGTAAGAGGATGCAGATTTTTGACCGATGATAAGGAGTACTTATAGAGAGTCATTATCTGATTTTTTTAATTAAAAAAATTATTCAAACGGTAAAAAATGTTACCGTTGCGCAACGTTTATTTTTTTCTACTGTCAAGTCAAATCAAACAAAACGTTGGAACAATATGTCAATGTTCATATTATTATTGCTATTAAACTTTTGTCTAATTCAAAAATTCCAAGTATTGTATTCTTAAAAGTATTTGAAATGCATCAAAGATTTATTGTCTTCCATTGCTTTATCACCATTCATACTCTAGTCTAATAGTTTAATGTTGTCTAATTCCTCTTCTTCTTTTTATTTTTCTTTTTTACTTCTCCAGTTATTTTTTCAGCTACTATATAACTCCTGAACTAGCTTTCCCTCAAATAAATTGGGTAAGAAAATTAGTAAATAAATCATGCCATGGACTATGAAAAGAGATTGAAAGAGGCATTATGGAAATTTGTGGTCCGTTTATTTAAATTTTAGATTGGATATGATGGTCTTTTGTTTCTTTGCATGTTGTCCTTTTGTATATAGATTTTGACAAACTGAGTTATCAAATCTGTTAAATTGGATATTCGCAAATTCGAACCTGAAGTTTCAAAATGTTTTCCCTATAATTTTTTTTATTATTATTTTTTCTTCTATAATTGTTTGTTTGGTTGTTAGTGGTTGGATTGTTGGCTTTTGCACTTTAGTTACTTGTTATGGACGGATAATGTTAATTCAATTTTTTTCTTCTTTTGATAATGTCATAATGTTATTTAATTGCTTGTTATGATTACATTTTTATCGATATCGCACGTTAAGACAAAAATTTATAGATAAATGGAGGGAAATTTAGTTGGGCAACATTTGGTAGGGTCAAAGAAATAACAATGATCAAATTAGTGTGATTCATAAAATTGTATTTTTTTTAACTCGTGCCCATCAATAAAGTGGTTTTCTAATTCAGTTTGTGAGAAATAGGAAACAGTCCAATTTTTCAAAACTTAATTAATATATACGAAATATTGAAACCACTTTCTGTTTTGTTCAATAACTTAAAAGAAAAGGTAAACTGGAAAAGGCTAAGCACGGTTCTTTTCTGTATGGTGGCATTACATTTTAGATATGCAATCGATTTTAATTTTTTTATTCCAATCTTTTAATTTAAAGTGCAATCTAGTCTGATACCCTCACAGTAGTTTTTCTATTATATAATTTTGAAAACAATTGCATGCCCACCTTGAACCATGATATACTGTCCATCTCTAATAATAAAAAAATGATCCATATAACTTATCTATTTGTACTTAGCACCCAAAAAAAACTTATTTGTGTGTATCTTTACCTTTACGAACTTTGTTGATTATTGAAATTATCGACAAAACCTAAATTTAAATAGGGTTTTAGACATAGCGTAAAATATTTACTACTAAGCAAGCTAGCTCTGAACAATTTGTAGACTATAGTCCCCAACCAACTGTTCATAAGTTTATAACAGATTACTAATGGTTAACTATTTTAATTTTAATTTATATATTCATAGGTAAAAGTTGGAAAGCGTTAACGTTCGCTTAACGTACAATAATAGACCGTTTGCAGTCTGCGTCTCTGCGATTGAAGGAATCTAGGCAAATAATAAAAAGAAATAAAATCTTTCGAGGTGGAAACCGAAGAGAAAAATACTTTTAGGGAGAAAATTGGAATAGATTAGGAGTTTTAGTACTACAACGAGGAAACTTAACGAGGGCTACATATTAATTTCAAAAGGTTATACGGTAAAAACCAGAAAAACATAAAGATGAGGGTCTTCCGACAAAAGTCCATCGATCCACTTAAACACTTGCACAATGTCCGTTCGAAAATATGACCGTTGAAAGTAATTAAAATTTTAAACAATAAAAAAATGAAAACTAAATAACTCCCTTTTCCTCTTCGTCGATCTCTATTCTTCGCCAAAATAAAAACTTCCTTCAGTAAAAAATCGATCGAGAGAGACAGAGAGATGGGTTGTGTTTCTTCGAAACTAGGCAAGAAGAAACTGATAAGAGAGATTCGGGTCAACAATGGCGGCGATCACATTGTCTCCCTCACTTCCACTACTTACGGTCATCTCGATCTCGAAAAACGAGCAGAGACTTCTCCTACGTTACAGGAACTCACTAAAGGCGATGTCTTTGAATCGGAAATCAAACCCCGGAGATCTATTACACAGAGAGATGATCCGGAGATAATCAATACATGGGAGCTTATGGAGGATCTCGAAGATTCAATGCATCCACAGAGGATTAGCCCCAAAAGTCGTGGCATTTTCGGGAAATCATGGAAGACTCCGGTGAAATCGATAGTGGAATCTCCGAAGAGGAATAGTAGTAAGAGGTTTGTGGGAAAAGAAAACAGAGGAGGGAATAACTCGAGAGGTGTGAGTCCGAATCAGATTCTCAAGCCGAGGAACATTCTCGAAACTCCTAAAAGAGGAGTAATGCGTTTGAGTTTCCCTCTCAAATCCGAAGAACCTTCGGTGCAGAGGAGGAAGAGTTTCAGTCCAATGTTCGATCCAAATCTCGTGGCTTCTTACGAGAGAGAGTTGTCTCAGGAGCAAGAGCAGATCAAGATGGTGATTTCTCCGGTGGTCCGGGAGACCAGAAAAACCGAGAAAACTATAGAATCGGAGAGAATCCTCAAGAGTTTCCCGGAGAAATGTCCACCGGGAGGAGAGAACTCAGTGGTTATATACATAACATCGCTGAGAGGGATAAGGAAGACGTTTGAGGATTGCAATGCGGTGAGATCGATATTAGACTCGCACGAAGTCCGATTCTCGGAGCGAGATGTGTCGATGCACTCGGTTTACAAGGAAGAGATCAGGGGTATTATGGGAACAAAACAGGTGAAGATACCGGCGGTGTTCGTGAAAGGTAGGATGATAGGAAGCGTTGAGGAAGTGGTGAGGCTAGAGGAGGAGGGCAAATTGGGAATTTTACTCGAATGTATGCCCAAGGCGAGGCTCGGAGGCCGTTGCTGCCGTGGATGCGGAGGGATGAGATTCGTGATGTGTGCGGTCTGCAATGGAAGCTGCAAGGTCATGGAGGAGGAGAAGAAGAGTATGGTTAAGTGTTTGGAGTGTAATGAGAACGGTTTGGTTATTTGTCCATTTTGCTCTTAAATTAAAAGTGACTTTTCCATTTTCATTTGACTTTGATTGAATTTGATTGAAATGGTTAATACATTTTGGTTTTGTAATGGTTTGGTGAGAGAGTTTCTAAAGTTGGGATTAGGGCTCTTAAGTGTGTACTACTTAGAACGAATGGATTCTTGTTTTAATGTTTGTAAACGTTTTTTTTTTTTTTAAGAATCAATTCATATTGTATAACCATTTTAAAATATCGATTTGTTTTGATTCTTTCTTCAATGGTCTAATATTGATAAAACACATATTTCATTGAATTTTTTTATTTTATTGCTCCTTGGCTTAATTTGCTATTCAACGCTGCTAAACTTGGAATTTCAAATCAAATATCATATATATAATTATTTTGGAAACAGAATTAACAAAAAGGTTTCCAAAAGTCAACCTTCGTATCCAATTTATTATTTTGCCAAAAAAAGGAGGAATAGAGACTATAGAGTTATACAAATTTGACTTTGGTAATAAATTTACAATATTAGAAGAAAGAAAATTAATGAAGTTTGATAATAATCAAATTTTCTTTTAATTAAGAACTTGCAAGTCTATTTATTTAAAAATTTGATTATTATCAAACTTCATTAAATTTCTTTCTTCTAATATTGTAATTTTTTTTACCAAAGTTAAATTTGTATAACTTTATTCCTCCTTTCAAATTTTGCAAAATAATAAATTTGACCAAAGAAAATTAATGAAGTTTGATAATAATCAAATTTTATTTTAATTAAGAACTTGCAAGTCTATTTATTTTCCATCTCTTGCACAATAAAAATATGATATTGTAAATTGAGTAAATAGAATATGTAGTTACTTACTATAAATCATCAAAACAAAACCAAAATATGAATTAATTTCTAAAATTTAAAATTTATTGTGTTTTTTTACAACAAAATTTATTGCATTTTTTGTCAACAAAAATTTATTACATTTCTATGTTTGTATTTTCTAATTTGCAGGCGAATCTTAGTCAAATATATAAATCTTGTTAGTATATATATAAGACTCCCTTTAAGTACTTCATTATCATTTCATCTCCTGTTTACTCTTCACCTTTTAAGAGCCTCATTCCCATTGTTGTAAAAAAAAAAAGAGCCTCATTCCCATTTTCTCATCTATTCATTCTTCACTATGACCAATGGAAGAAGTAACCTCGATTTGTAAGTTTTTAGAGAAATTTCATTTTTCTATATGTTCCATTTTACAGTATATCTGTAAGAAATTCTGTTACATTCGGTTATTTTGTTTATAAGAGTAATTTAAGGTTCTTATATTTGTAATTATAAAGCTGTTTGCCAGTCTCGTGAGGAGTCATCCTATAAATTATTAGATATGTGTAGCCATATGGTGGTGTTTAGAAATTAAGAGACAATGATTTTGTCATAAAATTTTGTTTGTGTTATATATAAAATGCCTAAGATGTTACTCTGTTATTTGATTTATGCATTTCATATTTTTGATTTCTATCAAATGTTTATAACGAACGAGATTTGTATATTTAAACATTGCGAGTAATGTCCAAAATGACAAACAATTTTTTTTTTGTGTGTCAAAATCAACGTCATTAGGGTGAGGCAGAAAAAACGTGAGAGAGAAAATGCTGAGAAGGAAGTTGATTGGAAGGCTCTCCTTCCCGAACTGTTGAGATTAGTAATGTCTCTCCTTGTTGTCAAAGACAACATTAAGGCTTCTACGGTGTGCAAGGCGTGGTATAAATCTGGTGCATCTATTCTGATGAAGGATCGACACCTATGGTTTATGAAATATCCTATATCTCCAGGAAACATAAGGCCTTGTGAACTGTATGATCCATCGCAGAAGATGACATACTTGGTAAAGTATCCCGAAGTATCAGGCATGACGATTTATTACTCGAAAGATGGTTGGTTGCTCATGCACAAAGATTATCCGTCTGATTTATTCTTCTTCAACCCATTTACTCGTCAACGCATCAGTTTGCCTGACTGTGATTATTATATCGAATGTGCTGTTTTCACTTGTGCACCGACATCTGATCGTTGTTTGGTTTTCGGGTTAACAAACGTGGACAACAACAAGAAAATTGTCGGAGTCAACACTTTTAGGCTCGGAGAAACCAGGTGGGAGACTAGTCTTTTCATGAGTCCTGAGAGTTTCTTCGCTTATTACAACAAAATTATCTACTCGGGAGACCTCTTTTATTGTCTTGGCGGATTAGGTTCGCTAGCGGTTTTCGACCCATCCAACCGAACATGGAACACTCCCGACCTAAAATATGAAGGAGGCTCCACAACTTTTACATCATCATGGTTTGGTACATATTTACTAGAGATCAAAGGAGATATTTTTCTCCTTAAATGTCAGGATGATAAGCCGCGAGTGTTTATGTTAAATCGTAACATTAATGAAGGTTGGACTTGGAAGGAGAAAGAAAGATTTGAGGAGGGCTTAACGATATACGGGGCTTTTCGCGCAACCGAATATAGATCAAACCTCGAGAATGACATGAACAACAAGCTACTCTTGTCGGATTCGCATCACCCGCTGATTAATACTTATTTCTTTGATGAAGGAAGGTATCTCCCGAACAAGTCGTCATGCTTCCCAACTTGGAATGATAATACCATTTTTCAAAGCATTTGGATTGAACCGCCAAAACTATCCTTAGATTTTATCTGAGTCAATCATTTGACAAAGATATTACAATGATTTTTGATTTCATCATCCAAAAGAAAAAGTACCTCTGCATTAGAACCAAAAATTTCCCTTTCATTTTTCATTTTGTTGTCCCTTTGTTTTCTTTTCTTGTCTCTTTGTTTTCGATGTACTGTTTTTAAATTTGTTTTCTCATATTTATAATGTGTTTCAAGCTTTCAATCATATCTATAATTTCATATATTATTGATGTCCATTTTCTTTGTAGCCCAAACAGATTATTGCTTATATACCAATCAATTTTTGTAGCCAAAACTATAACAAATATTTTCCGATAGAATTTCTAGAAAAAAATAGCAATGCTTAATTTGACGTTCAAATTAAAAAACCATTGATAAATGATGTCACAAATAAACACCAAAGGCTAATCGATTGTAAAAGAGATCGCATATTATGCCTATATAAAACTTGAAGGTGAACCAATGAACTTATTTCCATTACAAAACCAATTAAACAACAACAAAAACTAGCATCAAATTCTTTAAAGAATTTAAACTCTTCAAAAAGGGTTAGGTGATTTTAAAAACTCTTGGTCAATGTGCTTATTTGGGTAACAAATTAAATTTTGAAAGTGCTAATAAATTAGATTGGGGTATTCTGTATTCATAATTAATACTTAACTATCTTTAGGGAAAAAATAGAACTTTTTAGTTAATAATTAAATGTCAAAACTCGAAACTATAGGTAATATTTTTAAGCATTGACCAAAATAATTTTGGCCTTCGATTAATTATATTATTGAATTAAATAATTTATGCAACAATTGATCGAATCAAGTCGAAGCATTCACAAGAATAGCATGTGATTTAGTCAAGATATGTTTTCAAATTTCACATGCAATCTTTTGTCACCGCCGAAACTGTTTATATATTTCGACACTCATTAGAAACCTAATAAAAAGTTCATGTTCGTTTACGTAACTGAGTCTTTTATTTCAGCTATTGGCTTTGTCGCTTCGACTCTGCTACTCGATATATTAGATAACATCATGTTGTCAAAAAGTTAATCAAGAGGAAGAAATATGGAGCAAATGAATCCATATTGTTCTTAATATCAAATATATGTTTTAGCAAACAAAAAAAATCAAATATATGTTGTCTCATTCATATTATTCATCACGCTTTTTTTTGGGTCAATCCTACCGATAACCATGGCTGAATAAGAGAAGAAGAAGACGGTAGTATAGTCACATCATGATTATTTCTAGCTATCTTTTTGAATTTTGATTTCTTGGTTTAGTTATCTACAAAAGGTTTTCTAAATCTTAACTCATTGCAATTGAAATAAACCAAAATTCTGAACACTGAAATGGCGACTATAAAAATAGGGAAATTCTTTTGGGGTAAATTTCTCAGCTGGTGGAAATATCCATATAATTATTATTTTTCTCAGATGTAAAAGATCCATGTGAGAATTTTTCACAAAAAAAAAGATATAAAATTTTGAGATTTATCCTAACCGATATGATGACGAAAATCATACATAACTTGGCACACATCCCCAAAGCAGAGGCACACATGTCAATGCATTTAACCTATCCTCTCCCACCTTTATAATTCATAACTTCCGATCATTTTTATTCATGTTATAACAAAATAATTTCGAGAAAAAAAAGTAATTAACAAGGCCAAAAAAATGGAGCTTGAGACATCAGTTTATCGACCAAACGTCGCCGTCTACGATTCGCCGGAAGGCGTGGAGGTTCGAGGACGGTACGACCAAGTGTTCGCGAAGATTCTGACAAGAGAAGCTCTTGGATTTGTGGCTGAGTTACAAAGAGAGTTTCGTGGTCACGTCAGGTACGCCATGGAGTGTCGGAGAGAGGCACGACGGCGTTACAACTCCGGCGGTGTCCCTGGCTTTGATCCTTCCACTAAATTCATCAGAGACGGTGAATGGGTTTGTGCCTCTGTGCCTCCCGCCGTTTCTGACCGGAGAGTTGAGATAACCGGTCCTGTTGAGAGGAAGATGATCATCAATGCTCTTAACTCCGGAGCTAAAGTCTTTATGGTCCATCTCTCTCTCTCTCTCTATCTCTCTCTTCAACGACTTTGTTTTACGATATTGTTGTTAATTGGACCGGGTTTGGTTTAAATTTGGCCGGAATTGGTACCAATTTTACTGATTTTGGTAAAAGTTTTTGATATAATAACTCGAAGCTTTTAATCGGACCGATTTCAAATTCGGTTTCGGTTTACACTCGAGTTTGGTTATGTTTTAGTCAAATTTGAAGTGGGAGAAATTGACCGAATCCAGTAATTAGTTAAGTTTGTTTCGGATCTGTTTAGTGCCTGTGTTCCTTGCGTTGAAAGCTAATATCAAATCTGTTCGTTTTAGTCTAGTCTTGCTTGATTCGATTTGATAGTTTTCTAGTTCGAACCGCTTCGGCTTTTATGTGGATTATAATTTCATCGTTAAATATTATATTAACAAGAGAATATCAGCTCGGTTTGGCTTCTCTGTTTTGGTATGTATGAAACCCGGTTTAAGATTGATGTGTTTGAATCAGGCTGATTTTGAGGACGCATTGTCTCCGAGCTGGGAGAATCTGATGAAAGGGCAAGTGAACTTGAAAGATGCAGTGGATGGGTCCATTACCTTTCACGACAAGTCAAGGAACAGAGTTTACAAGCTCAACGACCAAACCGCTAAGCTATTTGTCCGGCCACGAGGTTGGCATCTCCCGGAGGCTCACATCCTCATCGACGGTGAACCCGCCACCGGTTGTCTCGTCGACTTCGGTCTTTACTTCTTCCACAACTACGCCAAATTTAGGCAGACTCAAGGTTCCGGTTTTGGACCCTTCTTCTATCTCCCCAAAATGGAACATTCTAGGTACCTCCCTGGACCAGACCGACCGGTTGGGTCATTAATTCGCTGTTCTTTTTTTGGATTAGGGTTAATTAATTAGGGTTTACTTGGTTTCTTGATAGGGAAGCAAAGATATGGAACAGTGTGTTCGAGCGAGCTGAGAAGATGGCTGGTATAGAGAGAGGAAGCATTCGGGCCACAGTGTTGATCGAGACCCTCCCGGCTGTTTTCCAGATGAATGAGATATTATACGAACTGCGTGATCACTCGGTCGGTTTAAACTGTGGAAGATGGGATTATATCTTTAGCTATGTCAAGACCTTCCAGTCTCACCCTGACCGCCTCTTACCAGACCGTGTCCTTGTCGGTATGGGCCAGCATTTCATGCGAAGTTACTCCGATCTTCTCATCCGTACTTGTCACAAGCGCGGTGTCCACGCCATGGGCGGCATGGTTAGTCCCCTCTCTTAACTTACAACCACTAGTTTACTAGGAGTACTACTTACATCTCTGTCTAGCTATAGCTGTACATCGATGTTGAAGTGTTTGCTGTTATGGTACTGATCAGGCAGCTCAGATTCCGATAAGAGATGATCAGAAAGCAAATGAGATGGCATTAGATCTAGTGAGGAAAGACAAGCTAAGAGAAGTAAGAGCAGGACATGATGGGACGTGGGCGGCTCATCCAGGACTCATCCCAATCTGCATGGAAGCATTCACAGGGCACATGGGAAAATCTCCAAACCAAATCAAATCAATGAAGCGTGAAGACGCATCCGCGATAACAGAGGAAGATCTGCTTCAAATACCGAGAGGAGTACGAACACTCGAGGGTCTAAGGCTGAACACACGTGTGGGGATCCAATACTTAGCCGCGTGGTTAACAGGATCAGGGTCTGTCCCGCTCTATAACCTAATGGAAGACGCGGCCACGGCCGAGATAAGCCGTGTCCAGAATTGGCAGTGGATTAGGTATGGAGTGGAACTGGACGGAGACGGGCTTGGAGTTCGGGTGAGCAAAGAGCTGTTTGGGAGAGTTGTGGAAGAGGAGATGGAGAGAATTGAGAAAGAAGTTGGGAAAGACAAGTTTAAGAGAGGAATGTACAAGGAAGCTTCCAAGATGTTTACAAAGCAGTGTACTGCAACTGAGCTTGATGATTTTCTTACACTTGCTGTTTATAATCACATTGTAGCTCACCACCCCATCAATGTCTCGAGGCTCTGAAAGAAGAAAGACGAAGAAAAGAAGATGGAAGGAAAAAGAGAGTTTGAGATATATGAGTTTGTGCTGTTGTTTTCGTTTTTGTGTTTGTTTCTTTTTAAGTGATTTTTTTTTAATGTTGCATGTCGTAGTTTCTATATGTTGCCTGTTGGTATATTGTAATAAGCAGAACTTGTTCTTTTAATTCCAATAAGAAATAAATGTTCTATAGCAACCTGATTTTGTGTATGGACATGAGGTAAAACGAAAGGCAGAACATTTGTGATCAGAGTATGACAGCGTTTAGTGAGGATTTGTTTAATTCGATATAGAACAGTCTAGATTTTCAAACATAGAAACGTAAGTTAAGTAATGATGCCCCAAAAAAAAAGGTTTTTACCTAAATTTAACTGTTGCATAGTCGTCGCGTCAGTAGTTTTGAACCCTAAACCTAAATCAAAAGTTAGTTATCAAATAATAGCCTTCACCATAAAATCACCGACTGATAATTAAAAGTGTGATCACTGAAGAGAATTCAGAAACAGAAAGCAAAACAAAAATAAAAACGAGTAAGCTATAAAAAAAAATTGAGTAAAATCATAAAGCTTTCTTGTTGTTAGAATTCATCATAGTCTTAAACTCTTCAAAGCTCACAAAACCATCGCCGTCTGCATCAACGGCTCGAACCATCTTGACACACTCCTCCATTGATATATTCTCTCCAAGTCGCTTCAACACCACGTGAATCTCATTGGCTGAAATCTTCCCGTCACCATCAATATCATACAGATCAAAAGTAGTTTTCATAATAGCTTCTTCGTCGTCGTCTTTGCCGCTAACCATGCACTTAGCAAATTCGTTGACGTCGATGTGACCGTCACCGTCGGTGTCAAGCTCTATGAACATCTTATCGATTTCTTCCGACGTTGTTGAAGGAGAGAAAACACGAATCCCCTCGGCGAATTCGTCCCATGATATTTTCCCATCTTTGTTCTTGTCGATTCTTTCGAAGATCTCTGCAACACTAGACATTGTCGTTTTTTGAGTATGATATGATAATGTCAAAGTCTGTCTATGGAAAAAAAGTTATGTGAATCAAAAACTATGTCCCCCTTATATTTATAGAAGAAAATTGTTTATTATTCCTATAAAAACTCGCAACTTTTATTTCCTTTCTTTATCCTAAACCTTAATGAATTTGGAAAAAGGTAATTTTTGAATTTCCTTTTCTTTTTTCCCAATAAACAATCCAGAAACTAGAAGCATGGAGTTGTTGAAAAAAAAAAAAGGAAAAAAGAAAAACTAGAACTTGAAGAACCGGTTACAATCAATGAACCGATTTGGGAAATTAAAAAAGAGGACTAATGAACCGATTCGGTTATGGTAAACCGAGTGGATTAGCTCCCGTGACCGAATAACCTAACTTAAGAAGCCATATAAAAGCCCAAGAAATCCCTCTTCCTCGCGTTTTCGATTTGCCTCTCACTTTATCGCCGCAAAAGCTTTATCGTCGCATCGTTCTCCGTTAGCCGTCGTCTCCAGGTTCCTTGATCGATTGCAATCTCTAATATAATATTTTTCGGCTAAATCGCCTTCTTTCGAATATGTGATTAGGATTCTGCTCTGTTTGTTGAATGATTGAATCCCTAGTTTCGCTTCTGCTTAGAATTTGCTTTGTTTCGATCCCTAATTGTCAATATCCTAAAGGCTTCTTAGCAACTGAAATGTGTATTGATGAACATCTTCTCTGATTTAGGTCTTCAATCGATAGCCTAACTTGTTTCTGATGTGATATCTCTTTTAAAGTCGATAGCTTTTAACAAGAAAAAACAAACTGCTGATTACTGCTGGTCTGGTCTTGTATGCATTTCAATTGAGAATGTTATGTGAATTGTGATTGTGAAAATTGGTCTTTGGTGTTAATCAGGATGGATTCTCAGATCAAGCACGCCGTGGTGGTCAAAGTGATGGGTCGTACCGGATCAAGGGGTCAGGTGACTCAGGTTCGAGTCAAGTTCACAGACTCTGATCGTTTCATCATGCGCAATGTCAAAGGACCAGTGAGAGAAGGAGATATCCTCACTTTGCTCGAGTCCGAGAGAGAAGCTAGGAGACTTCGTTGATGCGCCTCTACTTCTTCCAATGTCTTTGGTTATCTCTCTTTTGATTCCTCTCGACTTGGATTAGTGATATGATGTTGTTGCGTTTAAGACAATTGCTGGATTGATATCTGTTCTGGTTTTTCTGATATTCAAAGTCTCTGTTACCCGTTTGTCTGAAACCCTATATATCATCAAGAATTTGCTCCATATTATCTCAATCTCGTGCAACCTAAACCACAACAATCACATCTTCAAACCAACCAAGGAAAAACCATTACTTTAGTTTGTGCTTATGTTCGTAGCCTGAAAAAGCAATTGTCCTGTGATGCCATGAACCCAAATTCTGGTTCGGTCTTCTCAATTGAAACCAAGCCTGCTTAACCAAGTCTTGACCCTCCAAAATATCTCTGGAACACACACAACTAAAGTTCATGCGTCAACCAAAACCTCTATGGAAAGTTACTAGCCTTAGATATAATCCGTAACAAAAAAAAGTTCTCCAATGTTTCAAATATCTTCTTCTAAGTAGATTTCGAACCAAAACAGATCATACCTTGATCCGAGGGTACCATAACATCCTATACATGTCACCGAAGTGGCCCACGCTTTGTGTATTTCATTTTGCGGCTCCTAATCTTACATGTGAGATTTCCAAAAACGTCTTTTGTTGTTCGTTTCCAAATGACCGCCGAAGATGCGACGACAAAAACTCTTGCCGGAGTCGGTGTACATCTTTTAGATTAAGCGTCCTAAACTAATTGATATATACGTTGGCCACTTGTCTTATTGATGTTTCTTTTGGAACTTCTGATTTAAGTGATTATCTAACCAAGCTTTTAAGTCATTTATTCTTTGATCAAGCACCCAATCTGAGTAAATTATCAATCAAGACTAGCTTTCATAAGAATATATATAAATTCTAACTTAGAACTCCACTAAAAAAAGTCGTCCTAATTTCAATTAAGGCCTTCTGTTTTTAATACTACTATTCTACAGATTTTGTGGATTCCATAAGATTTGATATTTTATGGTACGATTAATGTATGTCTTTTTTTGCTCAACTGATTAACATATGCCTTCGAACGATTTTTTGGATGGTTTTAGAATCATCATACATTACAATCTCAAATTTGATAATAGTATATCGTTTCTTCACGTACACTCTTGGATTTACTAATTTCGATAAATAAGTTTTTTTTTTTCATCGATGTTTCTTTTCAGGAATCAATGCGTTGTCGTTCCACGAGTGAGGAGTCCTAAATCTGCGATCCATATTTTTCTTTAACCTCAAATTATTTGGTTCATCACTTTATTGTATGCATTTGTACGATCTATATATGATTAATGGCATTCTAATTTGTTTCTTTTACTTAGGTTTATTCTTAATGCAAAAGGACAAAACAAATCCCATCTTACGACAGTGAAATGACCTTTGGGCAATAATTTTATCCGTAGTTGTAATAGAATCAAGTACGATGAGAATGTTAAAATATAAATTTTTCTATCTTGGCCAGTCAAATGTTTTAGTGAAATTGTTTTTGAAATCATAGACCGATGAGTGAAGAACACGCTCTAACAAAATACTAACAACAAAAATAGATAGTGATATCCGGTCTGTTCGTTGAATCGGTTTATTTTTTCGCCATGCTTTCACATGTGAAAGATTTATGCTTCGATTGACGATATATTTTTTCATCGATGTTTCTTTTCAGGAATCAATGCGTTGTCGTTCCACGAGTGAGGAGTCCTAAATCTGCGATCCATATTTTTCTTTAACCTCAAATTATTTGGTTCATCACTTTATTGTATGCATTTGTACGATCTATATATGATTAATGGCATTCTAATTTGTTTCTTTTACTTAGGTTTATTCTTAATGCAAAAGGACAAAACAAATCCCATCTTACGACAGTGAAATGACCTTTGGGCAATAATTTTATCCGTAGTTGTAATAGAATCAAGTACGATGAGAATGTTAATATAAAAATTTCTTAATCTTGGCCAGTCTGTTCGTTGAATCGGTTTATTTTTTCGCCATGCTTTCACATGTGAAAGATTTATGCTTCGATTGACGATATATTTTTATACGTTGTTATCATCCTTCATCATTCAATCTTAACTGCTACAATTTTGTTTCCTGGCGAACAAGTTTCGATGTTTCTATTTTTTTGGATTATTTATTAGCTTACTTTTTACAGGAAAACCAATAAACAAGAATGAATGTTCTAAATTTATATAGAAATATGCAATAAACTTTGCTAATTGAATTCCATATATGATGTATGACTTAAGATACATATAACTTTCCTATTGACTTGCTTATAAACATCGAACTTCTGCTCGTTAAGATTCATGACGTGTTATATTTTTCTGCAGTTACTTTACATTTAACACGCACAAAAAATAATCTCTATACCAACAAACACCTCAACAATCGAATTTACTCTTTCTAACTGTATTTAGTCGCTAACTGCAGCCATTTTTAAGTCCATCTGTAGGTACTGAAATTTAAAACTAAACTAGTGTATATGGAATCTCTACTACATAGATAGGGTAGATGCTCACTCAACTCGTGCCAAAAAAGGGGACAATTATTGGGAAAAAGGATCAAATACGTACTTTGCTATATATTTTTTTCTGTTATATTGATGTACTGTGGATATTTTAGTTAAATTTAAGCGTCTAGACATTATATACCTTTTTTCAGTATATGTTTACTTTTACGATGGTTATCAAGAAATTTGTAAAATAAGTCAATTAGTTAATCTATAATACTGTACTCGCTTCGTTCTATTGTTAGATCATATCGGATCATATTAGTCAATCCAATAAGTCATAATATTCAATCCAAATATTAATTTTCTATAAAGTACATATATAAACACGTAGTTATTGGATACTATTATTAGTACCTTTTTTATTAATATAGATTATTTGATGTCAATCCTGTAGTTATAAGTTATAACTAAAACCACAGTCAGCAAATATGATGGTCACGTGTAGTACTTGTGATACTTGAAGTTAGAACCATCTAAAGAAAAATATATCAAATTTCAATAAAAGCTAATAATTTCTCAAAACAATTAAAAAAAACTAAATTTGAAAATCACCTAATAATCAACTATTCTTTAATTCTCCCTAGTTTTATTCCTACTATGAAGGATGAATTGAAAACAAAAAAGAAAGAAAGAAAGAAAGATGAAGTTAGCATATAACTGGGGAGTAGATGTCTATTGATTCTTTAGATTTGTCCAAATCTTACAACACGACAGAGCTTGGCCCCTATCCTCTCTCTCTCTTTCTCCAAGTTGGAAAAACCCTATAAATAGATGTCTTGTTCGTCTTTGGTATCCCACACCACTACAAATCTCTCTCTTTCCCTAAGCTTAGTTGAATCCACAGTTAGAAAGATAAAGAAACCTAAACAAAACAAAAGATGGAGAATATGGGAAGTAGAGTGATAGAGCCATTGATAGTGGGAAGAGTGGTTGGAGATGTTCTTGATTTCTTCACTCCAACAATTAAAATGAGTGTGAGTTACAACAAGAAGCAAGTCTCCAATGGCCATGAGCTTTTTCCTTCCACTGTCTCCTCCAAGCCTAGGGTTGAGATCCATGGTGGTGATCTCAGATCCTTCTTCACCTTGGTATATATACATACATATATATATATATTAACATTATTAATAAATCGTCAATATCGTTGGGCTTGCTTGCTGGCTGTGTAGTCCATATATTTTTTTGCCAAAACATAGAAAAATTATCGCTTTTTATTCAATTTAGAAGTTTCCCATTTTCTGACTCCCTGGAGAAAAAGAGAGGGACGTATCAATGATCTTATAAACTGTGCCCCTTTTTCTTGTTGTTATAAGTAATGTGACGCTACTATTTCGTTTTTATAAATTTTGTATTGGTGGTAAACTCAACTGAA